CAAGTACCAATCAGTGTGCCTTTTTCTATAATCTGTTCCCGGTCGCAAAGGTTCAGCACACGTACTCCTGAGATGTCAGTGGTCCTAACCAAGGTTCGAGCTACTTTCCATGGAAGGTCATTGTTTACCCTTTCCACAAGTACACAACGGTGAGCTTGCCCAGCGTTTCGAGGAAGACTAACCGGAACAATCGTTTCCGATCTCGGCGGAAGAACAGTCTTCTTAATGCTGTACACGTTCCCTGGTAACGCACCTTCCATAAAAAGTTCCTCCTGTCCACATTTCAAAACACCTTGCTTAACGTCGATCTCACAACAATTATTCCTCATAAAGTCTAGGCCTAGGATGCAGTCGTCCATTATATCAGCCACGATGACATTATGCAGGTAGATCACGTTGCCTAGCTTAACTCCATCTCCTTCTCTCCACGGACGGGTATACGCTGACCGGTAGCTGTTACCAAATTAATGCGTTCTCGGTTGTATGCGGAGTCCCCAAGAAACTGACTTATAAGTTGGGAACTAACAACCGTACGAGAGGCTCCAGTGTCTATGGTCAGTTTACACGGCATTCCGTTGACCTCGCCCTTGATGATTAGACTGTTCCCATCATGGGTTTGTGAGATCGAGATCCTTGGGGCTCTTTTAACATCAGCCAGCACCCGCCCCGCAGTTCTGGCTTTTACTCGTTTCCCTGCTGCTGCAGGGCGGTGCTGTTGGCCGCACTACCCTCCTGGGATCGTTCACCTTCCCTTTCTAGGGTTCGCTTAGGGCAGCTGGATCGAAGATGGCCCTTTTCCCCACAGCCATAGCACCTAGGGCTGTATCCTCTGTTGCGGTCGCGAACTGTAGCTGCTGCAACCTCCCTGATGCGATGGGAACGATGATCCTGCCGCACGGCTTCCACCTCCAGTGCATGGGCCAAGGCGTTCTTAAGCGTGTCGTGGTGCCCGAGTCTCACAGCAGCTCTGACTTCAAGGTCGCGGATGCCGTCGATGAATGTCTGAACCAGGTTCCCTTCAATGAGCGCAGGTACAGACTGGTATGCTTTTCGAACCATATTCTCCACCTCAAGGGCCCACTGCTGCAGGTTCTCGTTGCTGCGCTGCACGCGATCTTTAAGCTGCGCGCGAAAGACGTGTTCCAGATGAGCGTCGCCATATCTCGCTTCCAATGCCTCAAGAAGCTGCTCATAGGTCACTTTCTTACCGAGAGCTTCCAACACACTTAAGGCTTGGTCGCGCAGGCCTAGGGTGAGTGCAGTCATGGCTTGGCTTTTATTCCAGCCGTTCGCCTCCATGACGGCCTCGAACTGGATTTTGTAGGCCGACCAGGAAGAGGTCCCGTCGAACGGCGGCACTTTGAATCCACGTAGCGAAGGTGCTGCAGCTACTACGGGAGCTGTAGTTCCATCCCCAAGTTTGAGGTCGTTTAGCGTTTTCTTCACGTCAGCCATCACGTTGTCAACCCGATTGTTCACATGGTTGATTCGGGTTTCATGTTCTTCGATTCGGGTTTCAGCTTCCGACAGGCGGTTGTCGTGTTGAGCAACCCTATCCTTCACGTCCCTTATCTCTTTCCCAAAGGTAGCGTGAAGGTCCTTCATGAGGAGCTCTTCCGACCGACGAGCCTGTTCCGCCTGCTGATCATCCAACCGACGGGCCTGTTCCTCCTGTCGGCGGGCCTGTTCCTCTTGTCCGCTCTGCAGCTGCTCTTTCAACTGACGGACCTGTTCCTGCAGCATCACCATCAGAGCACCTAAGTCAGGTGCTGCAGATGTAGGAGCTACCGACGGGCCTGCAGCCGGTGGCTGGCCCTCCGACGTCTGCGGCGTTGCACCACCAAATCTTCGTTGGTCCGTCTCCTGCTGGCGTTGACTTCGGGTACGGACACCCTCCGTTTCCTCCTTAGGTAAAATCGGCATGATTTTATCCCACTTCTGACACCAATTGTTACGAGCTTGAGGTTCGTGACAATAAAAATTGCCGATAAAATTTCCTAAATTAACACTTTAATTTACTTTACACAAATTAAAACTAAAAACACTAATAATTAAACACACTAATTCACTTAATTCCGCTCCGAAGCTTCGCTTGTGTCGCCGAGTTCAACTACTTCGATCGCATCTTGCAGCGCCTACTTATATAAATTAGCAAAATATCCAGAATGTTCAAGTAAACACGCGCAAGGTACCGAGAATTCGAGTTTTAAACTTCAAGAAGTTTAGTTCTTCGGTTCGAGACTAGATGGCGCTAGTGCGCCGATTTGAGGCATTGGAGCGCGTAACAATATTAATGACTTATGGTAAAGTAAGTCTATGATACAAAAGCAATACTATAGAAGGTCTCATGAGATTTGCATTACAATAGTGGGGTCGTGGGTTCGAGTTCTATATATGAATGACTTATGAAAGTAAGGTCTATGATACAAAAGCATTACTATAGGTCTCTATGATGAAATAGCATTACAATAGTAGAATCGTGGGTTCGAGTCCTATTTAATGACTTATGAAAGTAAGGTCTATGATACAAAAGCATTACTATAGGTTTCTATGATGAAATAGCATTACAATAGTAGAATCGTGGGTTGAAGTCCTTTTTATTAATGACTTATGAAAGTAAGGTCTATGATACAAATGCAATATTATAGAAGGTCTCCTTGATGCATAAGCATTATATGGTCGGGTGACCGACTGCTCTTAGTACTGTAGCAAAATGACTAGTCCTTATTAGGGACTTGAAAAGGAATATTATGGTGGCGTGTATGTTGCTTCACGAGCAATTGGTCCGAGGTAAACTTGGACTCGCTAATCGATGTGTTCTAGACATATCATCTTAGTGCCGGTGGTAAGCGGGTTTGTTGTAGCAATACGGCTTTCCCGTGGACATCGCACACCCTTACCGTTTGAGGGCGGCGTCGTAGCGCATAGCGATGCGTCGTCTCTCTTTCGGATTGGGATGATGAGTGTGGTTGGTAGCACTTTTAAGTGTAACGGACATACTCAACTTCATGTCTTAGTGCATTAGTGCTATGGTACGTGGAGTTTTGTTCGCTGGCGTCTTAGTAGCGACCTACTATGATACGTTGGTGATATTTTTTAGTTAACAACAACACAAATTTTGTTACCAAAGTCGATAGGGATCATGTGGATGTGTTGTGAGGGAGCGCCATCCGTATGATGGCGGATTGATGCTTACTGCTACTTGCGGTATTGCGTCTTGTGAGGGATCTGCGGATGTGCTGCGCCTGATTCGACGCACTCTTGTGGTTCTGGTCGATGGAGGTATGCGGGTGGTGATGTCTGCTGGGATGTATGGGGGACCTTGGGATGGTGTAAGCCCGACGATAGTCGTATTGATGCTTGTTGCGTTCTGCAGCATTGCGTCTCTGCGATGGTTGTTTGGTGGGACGCTATTTTCAATGGCGCGCTCTGCGTATTGGTTTGACTCACACCTAAGTAGCTTTGCCCAAGTCGGGTCCCTTCATTACGGGGCTGCAGACTGTCTGCCCTCCACGATGTTTTATATAACAACATAATAATATATCTCTGTAACTTTTCCACCATTGAATGATTGAAGGCAACTTGTTGGTGGGTGAGACAAACATGATCGAAAATGTAAATGCATTTTGCACTCAACGTCAGTGACACAAAAAACCCTTTCTGATGGCGAATTATTATTCTTATCTTATAACTGCCTTTTGGCTATATCTGCCGTTGTATTGGTTGCTGGAGCATATGTGTCGACCTCATGTGGGAGGATCTGAGGAGACTCTCAAGGCTGCGGCCGAAAGCCGCACAACGTGGGACCCAATTCCCTTGAGGTGAGCGGTAGACTTATGACACGCTCTGCGGCTAGTAGCCGTGCTGATCATGCAATTGGTGGTGATGCCAGACACTTACATCACGTCTGCAGGAGTGGCGGTCTGGCAGGTGGTGGCGCTCACGAAGGGTTTACGACAAGTGTGCCTAATTGCTGGCGTTTATACGCATTGACATGCGCGACTTCGGTCGATGTTTGTGCTTACGCACTAACAAGGGGCCAAGCCTCTTTTACTGGTTCGCCAGTTATTTTGCTGCGGACTACGGTCCAGTTCCCGAATTAGCGTTCCCTTCGGGGGGAGTGCATTAAAATGGTTGGCGCTCACCGTGCACGGCGTGTGTGGGGCCGTGTGCCTCCCCCTACATTTTTTTAAATAAATGTAGGAGAGCGAAGCCCTTGTATCGGGTATTTTGTATAAATATATTGTGAGTCTTTTCCAAGCGGGAAGAGATAAATAATAATAAATTAATAATGTAAACCTGATACAAGTGGAATAGGGACGTTTTATGTTCTTAACCTTTCTCGAGCCCTGTCTTCGTGAACGGGGTTCACTTAGCTTATAAGGCACTACCAACAGCTTTCAATTGCTCTAGTGAATATTCATTCTTCCAAAAGACATTTAAAAGAACTAAGTTACTAAACAAACACAACGTAAATAAGGGTCCTAACTAAGACGATCACGCCAAAAATATTACAAACGGCCTATTATTAAACCTTTTGAAAGATCATTTAGAAAGATCAAAACATATTTTATTAATCCTGGTCACATATATATAATTTTATTGAAAAAGGGTTAAATTAATTATATTTAATATATTTATATATATATATATATATATATATATATATATATATATATATATATATATATATATATATATATAGGGGGGGGGGAGCGTTACACTACACAGTAAAGGAAAATTTTCCTGAAAAGAAGTAACAAAAAAAATTTCGGAACGAAAGTCGAAACCACCAGTTTTAGAGGAAAATTCACTATAATATTGATATAACTTAAGCGTAAGCTTAGCGTACACGAGCGTAATAGCGCGAGCGAGTATGAAAGCGATCATGAATGATTTCGACCATCCCTTACAACCTCGTTCGCAACTCATTTTACTCCATGAAATGGCATTTTGCGCAATAATATGGACACGTGATGAAAACATGTTGGAATTCTTACCATATTTGTCGGCATCGTGAAGTGTGTCACAGCTCTGGTATTTTGCGGCAAAGTTGGGGCAGAGCAGATCAGGTAGGTGGTTATCAATGTTGGCACGCTCCAAGAACCAAACTAGGTTCCAGTATACTATCGGATGAGACTCCACAAATTCCGGTTCCGCTAGACACGAATCCCCTTCCCTACCTGTGTATAAATATTTTATTATAATACATCATTTATGCGCAGTAAACACAATCTTTGCCCATCTTCTATTGCAATTGTTACAGTAAGATTCATTTAGCTTCTAAAATGGCAAATTAACCATCTCGTAAAAACTATATCCAACAGGAAGCTAACAGGAAGTATTGTCAAAGATGAATCGGCATTTTTGCAATGGACTTTATTTAGAGGTTGTTTACTGAGTTTAGTGTCATAAATAATGATTAGTATAAGATATTTGGAAGAAGTAATTTAATATAGCTGATAATGAATATTATTATCAGGCAAATTCCCAAGAAACAGGTATGTCTTTCTCCTTACATTTTACGCAAGCTAATATGTACTATGGTTTACTAAGGTGAAACTTACCCAATATCGACTCAAATTCCTTTCTTAAAACCAAAGGATTTAAATACGGCACACTAATTGTCTCTGGTTGTGTCTGCCCCTCACGTATTACCTATACAAAAAATTTAGACATTTTAGATTTATTTTAAAATTTTTATATCTAAAACAGACCCCTGTATACGTCCTACAGCTTATTACAATATCTAAAAGAGTTATGGAGCAATTAGCACGTTTTGCTACTTCCGTGCGTCTTGACAAGCTTCACATGTACTCAAGGTACTATAAACGTGCGTTAAATCTTAGCCGGGCTGAAGGTAATCGCGAATGACTGGCGCAGATACAGTTTTTAGGAACAAAATGGTGTCAAGAGGAGTGGGAGCGTGAGCGATAAGTAAAACTAGAGATGCGAATAATACGCATATTGAGGTACAATTATGTAAATAATCGATTATGATTCGATTTTATTTTATGTTTTATACGGTTCATTGGTTTGTAAATGCAACATGTCGTTTATTACATTGCTTATGATGATGTGCATTAAAATTTCTGTAGAATAAATTAAAGTTATATTATTTTGGAGTTATTGAAAGAATTTGTTGTCCACGCTTATATCGCGTAGGTAGGTACTACTATATATTCAAACTGTTTATCGTAATTATTTTAGATACTATTGTTTTATTGAAATACATAAAGATATTTTCATTATAACAATAATTTTCGATTTATTCTATAATCGAGATAAGTAGACAAAACAAGTTTAAAAGGGATAACAGTTTATCAGATAATGCTAACAAAAACTGTCATAATAATATATACAATACCCTTTACCAAAAGGAGCAGGTTGGACAAATTAGTCAAACTAAAACTTATTGGTAAAGAAGTACCATTTTCCACTGAAGTTAAGTACTTGGGCGTAACAATCGACCAAAAACTAACGTGGAACTCTCCCCTTAGCAGTGTCAAGTGCAATGCCATAAGGCTAGAAATGCTCTAGGTACGTGCAGTCGTTTGGTCGGGAACAACTGGAGCTTGCGTCCCAGTATGGTCTTATGGCTGTACAGCAGTATAGTGAGGTCGATCCTCACCTACGACTCCACTGTCTGGTGCAACAAGGCCAACCAAAAGACGACTGCGGGCAGACTAAATAGTCCACGAAGTACTGCCTGCTTAATGGCAACTGAACCTACGCGATCATCGCCTGGAGCGGCTCTTAATGCACTTCTATGCTTAACGCCCCTTGATCTTTATCCTGACAAGGTGGCGAAGGCTAGTCTGTATAGGACTAACCCCGTGTCTCGGAAAGCACGTAAAGCCGTTGGTCCTGAGCCTGATCTCTGTCCGGTCGTGTCGGCTTACCGTCCCATCGGATTATGAGAGTGAGGGAATAGAGAGTGCACCTGTGCTTGCGCATACACTTGGGTACTATAATCCTGTCCTGCGCCGATGGCTAGCCTCGGTTGAGGCAGGGCGCCGTGACCGAATTTCGGTCTGGAGGACATTATAAGATTAACGCCCGGAGTGGTTTGAGCTTGCTCTACTACAGATTGAGATCCATGCTCGACTCAATTAAGGAATCACCGGTCTTATGCATGATCTCAGATATCATGCGTTTACTATACACTTTTGATAAAAAGTATTAAGTGTAACTACCATCCAGAGGACACTGGCTGAATGACCAGATTATCTGTGAGGTCGGTAGCCTCAATTAGTATACCGATGGGTCAAAACTGGGCCTCGACGTAGGCTTTGGAATTTATTGGGAGCACCCCAAGTTCAAACTCAGTATGAATTTGGGTAGATTCACCTCTATCTTCCAGGCAGAAATTACTTCAGTGTGCGGAAATCAATCTGCAAAAACACTACGTCAATCATATAATTTATATAAACTCTGATAGTCAAGCAGCACTTCTAGCGCTGAGGTCAAACTAACTCGAAGCTAGTTGAAGACTGCGTGAACCGTTTTAACGCCCTGGGATATAACAACAGGGTCGTCTTAAGATGGTGGAGTGGCTCAAAGAGTACACAATTTGGACCTGAACCATTTTGTGGAATCTCAAGAAGCCTAGCCCGATTGACCCTTGAAACTCTTTATCACAATAAATCACTTAAGATCTGGTCTGAAATGCCAGGCTTAAAACATTCTAAAAACTTAATCCGGGCTTTTGATCGTAAATTCGCTTCAGAAGCCCTGGGATTAAGCATAAATAAATTGCACATTCTGGCAAGAGCTCTAACTGGACACTGTTGTCAAAAAGCACATGTCCATCCTGGAACTAAGCAATTAACAGATGTGTCGGTTCTGTTCCATAACGGAGGAAACGCCTCTGCACATCCTAACTGATTGCGGACCCTTAATGTGCAAACGTAACACTCATCTGGGAAACTATGTACTCCGCCCAGAAGAAGTGACATCTCACAGCTCACAGCTAAGAAAATTCTTCTATTCATCGAAGACATAGGGCTTAGCAGTGAACTATAGCCATTGCAGCGATCACAATAAATCTTTTTAAATTTTAGCAAAATTAATAACAACACTGTGTACACAAAACTTTAATCAAGAGAGGTCTTTAGTTGAATATGTTATGTGTCTACCTATCGGCAATATTTCACCAATTTCTTTTTGTATCAAGTCCGATATAAGTATAATTGAAAATTAAATGCACTATGAGATTTTTATTCATAATTGATGGAATAGTTCGTGATACCGTTGATGCAGCCTTTTTTACTTTTAATAAGATTTTTAAAACAGTTTGTCATATATTAAGATAGCTTTCATATTTTCAGACGTACCTATTAAAATTTTTGTGACAGTCCCTGTTGCATAGCTCACGCGAGTATATTAACAGGTCCTTGTGAAAAAGTACCATAAATATCAAAGAAAGCAAATATAAACACGGGTTTATTTTTATTTTAACTATGAGTATAGAGTAGAACTGTATTGATAGAATCTTATCAAATATATGTAATGTAATAATATGTAAATTTCGTAATTGGTACGTAAGCAACTCAATTTAGATCCGCGCCAATTCCACTCATATTTTAACTGCAATTTGAAGAGTCGATTTACCACGTTCTCGCTAGTGAAGAAAAACATCGCAGGATAAATGCATATCTGAGATGTTAAAAAAATATTTCGGAAACTATTTTTAGGTATAGGTATGTGAAGTCGGTCATTCCGCGTTGGAGTCCATTCCGTTTTAACCTCGCTGTGGCCTGTGCCCAGTAGTGGAATATATTTAGGCTGCTACTTTTTTACTTTTAATAGGGCTTTTCACTGCTGATCATAGGCTTCCTCCATTGTGTGACAAATAGACCGGGTATTTGCAGTAGTATTCACGAATGGCAACCGCAGCCATTTATTACTTTGAGCTGTTAACGAGAAGATGCTACCCATCTCCTGTTTAGTGATTTCCTTTTCGCCGCCTATTCATGGCTAATATATTATTTCTGCTCCCGTTCATCAATTGGATTTCCTCCACAGACCGCTAAATAAGTTGGATATTTGCCATAGTTGGCACGTTTGGCATGCGAGTTACCAACTGCATATTTTCATTATTATGAGTTACCTATGATCAGGACGACGCTGCTGCCCATCTCATGTAGATTTCTACTCCTGTTCATGAATTTAGTTGTACTCACGCGTTCTCCGTGGTTAGAACTACATTTATGAAATTTTGAAGTCTACTCGAACATAAAAAAATATTCAATGGGACCAATATTACTAAAAACCGTGAAATAAAGCCTTATTTTATCAAAACTATATCAACTTTAATAATGAATATGTAAATAACGCATTTCCGATTCCAGATTAATTTTCCCTTCATAAAGACACATCGGAAATTCCGATGACGCAAATATAAAAAAATTGGTTGACCCTGCAGGCCATCCCTGGAACTTCCCGCTAATATCAAATGAAAAACGCTCCAAATTTCACCAAATTATGACGTTGAATATGAAATATCGTAATAATTTAAAAAATCAATTTTTTCTAAAATTTTCGTTAACGATATCTCCTCACGAACGAATCAACCGATTTTGACTGGACGATTGACGTGGTTTTTCAAGGTTAAAAGCTGATTAGTTTTTGGAATCGATCGGTAAAGCCGTTTAAAAGTTATTCCAAAAATAGTTTTTATATTTTTTATTTTTGAGATCTCGATTTTTGAAAATTTTCATTTTTCTTAGCGGGAAGTTAAAAAGATGTTGCTTGACGTATGATATTTATGCGATTCTGATAAACTAACTTATGTGTTTTTGTGGCCTATAATATTGCCAATACAGATAGGCACAGATGCCGACGTGTGTACAAGTGATCTAGTTTTGTTAATTTTAGCAGGAAATAGTATTTATCGGTGTTTCTAAATTCAAGGCCACACGAACAAAGCCGCGGGTAAAAAGCTAGTCTGAAATAAGTTCCTAATCACTCAGAGAAAGTGCGCAAATAATGACACAGTTTTATTTATAACATTAAACGAAATCAGTGTTATATTGTCGAAAATAACGGTCGCGGTTGAGAGAGATCAGGCGCAGGACAAACGGCTTTACGTGCTTTCCGAGGCACGGGGGTGAGACACCGCCAACTTCCTGACTCCGGGCAACTACTGAGAATTTCTTGACAGAAAAACTCAATAATTAATTTTTTTACCCGACCCGGAATTCGAACCCAGGACCTCATGATCAGCAGTCGCACTACTAATAAATTGGAATCGTAATATATTGGTATCGTAGTGGCCGTGTAGTAGAATACATAGAAGTGCTAGCGAGTCCGTAAGGAAGTAGAGAATGTGAGGGTGCGACCGTGCAGGTGAGCAGCGGCACGGTGTGGCGGCCGCAGGCGGTGCAGCGCGTGTTGAGGTTGGAGTCATCGGCCGCCCAGCCCGCCATGATGTCCTCGTCGTACAGCGCGCACAGGCACTGGTGGCACTGCGAGCACGACGTCACCACCGCCTCCACCGCCGCACGTACGCTGCGGTCGCCCTCCTGCAACGTGCACGCACACTCTTAAACCCGTACTCGCGACGGTAACAAAACGTTTTATAATTATAATTTGCATCCTATTTATAGTATATATTAAGAAAACACGACTACACTGGATAAATTGTAACATCTCATACCATGAATCTTGCAAATAAAGATTTCTGAATTATGAAATAAGAAGGAAACCCTTTAATTTGGTACAGCCTATTGACGTACACAACAATCATATTAATTTAGATTTTAGAGCAAAAATCCGAAAATTTAATACGAGGGTGACACTATATTTCTTAGAAAATCAAAAACTGAACAAATTAGCAAGTTAATAGTTTTATTATATCTTTTCAAAATAGTGTCCATTTACATATTGCCTTTTTAAATACAGCCCACTTGCTTCTTCGGCGTCCATAAAACGTTTTCTTCGAAGTTTTTCTTTTATTTTTGGATATAAATAAAAATCGCAAGGTGCTAGATTGGAGCTACAGGGCGGGAGACCCAGTAATTCCACGTCTGACCCTTCGCCGCTGACGCAAACTGCGACGGAACAAGAGACCATTCTAGACATTTTTCATACGATTAAATGTCCGGCACCGCATGCCGTATACCCCAGCGTTGTGCGTTACGATCAAAAGACCAAAGCTTAAGATGAAATGCCTCACAGCCTGTGCACGCACTGCAGCTGGTCGAGAAATTGGTAAGAGTCGGACTTACCCAGACAGACTTCTAAGCAGAAAGAGTACCAACTAGTAAAATGCACATGTACAAGAACAACACAATGACACAACATCAACAGCTATTTTTAACCGACTTCGAAAAGGAGGAAGTACTCAATTCAACAGTATTTTTTTTGTGTGTGTACGTGAACCGATTTTGATGATTCGTGTGGTCCCATATAAATTTGATCAAGATCTGACCAGTATTTTTGAGTTATCATTATTGCGTATTTAATTCACTCCGACTATATTGATGATGTTCTCATTTTATTTATATATTGAAGTCGGTTTTACAAATTATTTAGTTTTACCACTTGTATTTACCTAAACTACTTATGTGCAAGTGGTGTTTATCTTATATAAAATCTTTTAGTTTTAAAACAGAAAAACCACTTCCCTAATATCACTGAATATAATATTTTATCCAAACCCTACCGAAGTTTATTTCGGCTCTTCAAATCCTTATTTACTTATTTTACTAGCGCCTGACAATCTATATACTGCAATTACAATGAACTGCAACGAATGCTATTATAAAACATATGGTATATGTAATTATAAAAGTTCTATTTAAAAAAAATGCAAGTCCTAGAAACTTTATTTTAATAAACAGCTCATCGTCGACGATTCGTTGTTTGGTGGGGCAAAGTTTTATAGAGATTTTGGCATTGTCATTTATGTCCCATTTTTAATTATTATACCTTTAAACGAGCAATTCTTGTTTTTTATATATATATATATATATATATATATATATATATATATATATATATATATATATAATCGGAATCTCGGAAACGGCTCCAACGATTTTCATAAAATTTAGTGTCCGGGGAGTTTCGGGGGCAATAAATCGATCTAGCTAGGATTTATTTTTAGAAAATGTCTTTTTGTCCGTGTTTTCAGGCAATGAAAAACTGCTACAATATAAGAAGGTAAATTTTTGACATTTTATTAATGATCGTAATAGCTCAAGTGTTCGCGTCCTGTCTTCGTTTCTTTTTTTTTTTTCTTTTTTTTTTCTTTTTTTTTTTTTTTCATTTTTACTAAACTAATTGCACTCATGATTTTTTACTTAAATAACCAGTTCAGTTTTTTTTCCATTATGTCAAAAAGATCAAAAAATATTATTCATCAGTATGTAATTTATATCTAAATGTAATTTCCAAACAAAAAACCGAGCAAAGCTCGATCATCCGGGTACTTATTATTTAAGTGTCCCGTTAGTAAGCAAAAGTATCTTTTTCTTTTAAATTTCAGAAATGATTAGTTATAAAGTGCTTTACCGCGTGTAGTGGGTAGAGATTGTCGGGCAGCTGCGATAGCAGCGTAGCGAGGGAACCGCGCTCCATACTGCAGACCAGCTCCGCTTCACTTGACGCGCGTCTGAATGCACCGCCCATAGACCACTCTGCACACACACAAGTACACAATTGTAACATGTTCAACAAACGATTCCCAGGTTTTTACGTGGTAGAGCCACGCCACACTACACATTATGGTTGTGGCACAAATGGCTCTCACAGAATACCAGCGTAAAATAGCAGCTTACTGCTGCTGCGTTTCGTATGGTGAGTGTAGAGAAACCGGAGACCCTATTTTAGTAAAGAGGCATTCTATGTTGGTGGTTAACTGTGCTGGTTTGTCACACTTATTTCTTAAAAACTATTCCCTAATTTAAAAAAAAATCTTTTAGAACTGAGAGAAGGCCTGAGCCTGGTGGTTGAATGTATGTATTACTGTAAATTCTTTTTTAATTCACTACAATATGTCTTACAACCAATACATTTTGACACAAAACAATTCAATAATGGCAAACACTAACCATCAGGATTGACTTCCGACGAGCCATCAGCAGAGTCCTCTTCTGTGATGAAGCTTGTTAATGCACTGGTCGCATTTCCGAACGCTCCCTTCACTGGCGTCGAGTTGGCCGAGATTACTTCCTTCATCTCGTCAAACTTCTTCGCCATGCTGGTAGCGGCTGATTTAAGACTGCTAAGGCCACTTTGAAGCAGCTCGTTAGACTTCTTGCCGGCTATACTCGTTGGGCTGAAAGTAATTATAACCTTTCAAAACGTTGTGCAAAAGTTTTTGACGAGATTCCTTCACGTCTAGTAGAAATAGTTACCGACGCGAGATTTAACGACTTTTTTTTTTAATTTAAACATCGTTTGAATTAATGAATTAATAAAGTGAAAAAAAAAAAACTTTTGCAGTCCATTTGATGGTAACTAACTACAGCAGTCTACACCTAACCCTAACAACAAACGTAGAAAGCTGTAGATATGTCATTACATCTAAGGACTAAGATGGACCGCCTATCATTCTATAATTATAATACTTATACGTGGTAGAGCCATGCTGCAGTTATATTAGATGTATAGTTGTAACATGAATGGGTCGGCTCGACCGGGGAAGGACCACGCTCTCATAGAATACCAGCGTGAAATAGTAGCTTAATGCTGCTGTGTTTCGTATGGTGAGTGTAGAGAACCGGAGACCCTTTTTACTGGAAACGAGGCATTCCATCTTAGTCCTCACGGGTGACAACGCATCTGCATTTTGATTTGTAGTAGAGGATAGATGTAGATGTCTATGGGCCACAGCAACCACTTACCATCAGGTGGACTGTGTGCTCGTTTGTCACCCTATCCTATAAAAAAAATTATAATGGCTCTCCATACCCTTCAGACCATAGCACAGCTGTGCACGCACTGTTGCTTGATGGCAGAAATAAGTTCGAACATACCTAAGAACTGTTATACTACTACTAGGTAAGAGGAACCTAAACCGACTGATTCCTAGGTAGAAAGGATCATGCCATCAAGTCCTACCGATAATTATAGTTTCATATTATAATTATAGTTATATTTATAGTCATACCACCTTGAAACGAGTTTTGCACACTTAAACTACAAATAATTACGTGGTAGAGCCATGCTCCATTACTGCATCTGCATTTCGATTCGTAATCTAGGATAGATGAAGATGTCTATGGGCCACAGCAACCACTAAGACTTATTTAGATGTTTACTTTCTAAAATAATATAACAAAAAATATACCAATTTTCTTTTAGAATTTTAATCCTTAAAATAAAAAAATACATATGCATGAGTAGACCACATTCTATTGTTGTTTCATGATACATGCATAATGACGAGACGCAATGTTGTACACGCTAGGCCACGCAGAAAGTTATTTGAAAAAGAAAGTATTTTTAATTAAATAAAAAAACATAGTAAAAATACGATATTGTTTATAATTTTAATTGGAGCAATATAATACGTATAGTATTCAGCAAATATTTCAAATTGGATCGGGAAGCGTGCAAGATATTTTACACGAAGATCTTCGCGTGAGTAGAATAGTTTCCGGTCGGTTGCTGTAAATTTGATGCAGGCTCATCGGGGCGTGTTAACTGAATTTATGAATTGGTAAGTTACCGAATCTGGAATCTATCAATACGATCGTGAAACGAAGCGCCAGGCGACGTTTGAGCTGTTACAAAGTGAACCAAAGTGGTATACTAACAAATGCTTGCCAGAAGTGTTCTATGCTCTACAACAAACAATCGAATACGAGGTCTCACGGACTACTGCTTTCTCATGAAAACGCGTACGAGTGACTTCCTGGTCAGCACACTATTTAATTTTATTTTTATACAAGAGGGCAAAACAAGCATGCGGCTCACCTGGTAAGTAACTACCGCCGCCCACGAACTACTCAACAATGGTTTTTGGGTAAAACGACGTAAGAAACTTTGCATGTAAATACTCGTGGAGAGTTCCTTGAAAAGTTCTAATAATAAAAACTTTATCCATAAACTTTGTTAATTTGGGAAAACTTTCTGTGTGTCCCACGTATAGCAAATATTTACTGAAATAGATACCCAATTTATTAAGAAAGTATTTTTTAGTTTTATTAAATTTAAAATTTTTAAGCACATCCAATAGAAGCCCCGAAGTAATTTCAGTTCAGTTAAAGAAGAAAAAAAACGTTTTTGGTTAAAATTAACAAATAGACAGAAAAAAACACTGGTATCAATTTAGTTCCTACCTTCACATAAAAATTAGAAGCTAACTATTTAGTTTATATTATAGCATAAGATTAGGTAGCAACAATTACTCGTAAAACCGATCTTTTATTAGACGTTACACACACATAATTATTATTATTGCGTTATCACTCACTTATTTAAATGGATTAAATAATTTCAAATTATTAAGCTCTTTTGACTGGACACAAATCTTCAAAAAGTAAAAAATACGTTTGGAAGATGGCAACAATGATCTTACCTGAAGTAGCTCTCGATCATAGCTTTTCCCAATTTTATGTTTTCCTTGCGCAACGACAGCCTGCTGGGCGAATAGCGTCTAAGAAAACAAACAGGCTAGCACTGCACTGCCATCAAATGTGGTGCGGTTAAATATTTTGTGTGCGATGCAAACAGACGGATCTAATTTATTTCACAGGATTCTGAATCTAAAGGCCGAAGCACGCTAACTGCGTGTGCATTGCGGATCGAGGCGCAAGTTGCATGAAACTTTATGGAGCATAATATAACATTGAATGAGTTTTGCTAAACATATGCATCACACGCCTTCAGCGTTCAAACGACCACCCTATATACATATCTGAGTTGCCTGAATGTGAACACAACGTCGCATCGTGATAAAGTTATATTGTACGAAGTTCTCTATTAGCTTGTATTAGCTTGTTATTACTTCAGGCTACTAATCTCACACGCATCGGTGCTGCGCAGATAGTACGCGGGACTAGGCAAATTGTATTGAAAGAGAAAAAATTACCGTAGAAAAACTAATTTTTCTCAGCAAAAAGATAATTTGTAATATAATATTACAATAAAAGTTAAAATAAAAAAATCTGACCGTTTAGCAAAATTTTAAGTGTCAACAGTACGAAATATGACAATATTTTTCTTTGCGCATTTCAATTAAAAAGATCTAAAGCTATATTACAACAGCAGTATATTAGAAGAAAAAAAGAGTAAAATTTTTTCGGAAACAAAAAAACTGCGAGCACTTCTTCCAATAATCATAAAAGATATTTTATAACTCAATCACTAAAGAAACAAATAAGTAATAAATAGCCGAGACCATCAGTTTTCTTAGCAAGAAGTACTGAAAATATTTTCCTCCGTTAGGTAAATTGTAATTCAGCCATTATTACGACTAATGATGCAAAAAAATGAGGCCCTGTTGGAAAATAGAAAAAAAGTGAATGACAAAAACATTTTTCTATTATGATCTTATATTTATTATAGTTAATCGGTAAAAATCAAATAATATGTCCTCTAGGTGTTTTTGAAACGCTCCCGAAAACGAAGACAGACAATAGTGCTAAGAATACCTTTGATGATGGGACAAAAACAAAATCGATCCCGATGAAAAGAAAATCATATTTTTACAACGTTTAAATTAGCTTTATTCATGCTCTATCATGTTAGTACAGCTAAATGAAACGATAATTTCATATAAAAATCATAAAAATATCTAAACATAAAACCAGCAGTGAAACTTAAATACCTAACATCTAGCTGACAAGGGTCATTGTATGCGCGACTGAATCCTGCAGCCACATGAGTAGATAAAAAGAATTATCTACTCATGTGCCGCCCGCGAACGTACCAATACCTAATAATTTACAACACGTCCAAATACCTAACTTATCTACTTAACCTACTATTTTGGCCACTGTATTAGTCACCACCTAGCCATTTTAATTCAAATTCACAGATTTAATAAACCAAATAGCTGGTTCGATTATGAAAATTAACTTAAATTATCTATCGTGTAGGTAGGTTCATTATTTTGATGTATTCAGTTATGTCAGATCAGATCAGTACTAAATTATTTAAAAAAAATTAGGTATGAAACAGCTTACCGATCTAAATCCTTAAATAAACCTGCCCATACGTTAACCGTCCATTGGGTTTGGTGCTCGGTTTGTCAAACAGCGTGCGGGTTAACCTTGGAATACACGTGGTGTATTTCTTCGGTTCCACAGGCTGTTTCTGGGAAATGTCGGTTCGTCCGTCCAGACTTGCACTTGGCCGGGAACTAAAGTTTGCACTTTGTACACTTTAACAACTTGTGAACTGTCCAGTATGACACACTTGTTCCATCCCGATGCCTTAACAATTTAACGATACTTTATAAAATTGTAAATTCATAATGCACGCGAAGCATTCCCGCGAGCTTTTCCAAGTCACATTAACATGTCGCCGTATAGACGAGCACTATAAACGTACGCGTTAGGCATTATTAAAACAAAACAAGAAACACAAAACGTTACAACAATTTCATAAACAAAACGATTAAACTGTCGCTCACGCGCACGTCAACACGGAACTGTCTCAAAAACTAAAATTAATAAATGCCCACCGCTACTTTCGTGTGTCCTTGCGGTTAGCATTTTGACCATTCCACAGATCAATAAACTGTTACGACATTCCCAACTTTAATTTTATAAGTTTAGTTATACCTACGACTAGTCTTCACACGGAATTTAGAAGTTATAGTTGTCATTTTTAATAAAATTAGAGAATCAATTGTACCCTGACGCAACAAGCAGTTTGTTAAGACAAAATTATAATGGCATTAATAAACGTACCTAATTGGGTACGCAAACAATTATAAACAAAATTTCATCGTTATCTTTGATTTTGTACCAGAAAATATAAATGAAATGGTACTGAGTAATGTATTGATTAAAATAAATTGTAATTAAGATCGATTGTTAACTAATCTATCACAATTAATCTAAAAAAATAATTCTTTTACTTTATTTTAATTGACTGTCCTTTTTTAATCCGCCCAATATTTTCTAAGCTCGATAAAAAGTGTTCAGCGTCCGCGCGTTCTTATACCCTTTATCGGCTGATTTTAGGTATTTAAGATTCACGGCTGGTTTATATTTAGGCGTTTTCATGATTTTTTTAATGAAATTATCGTTTCATTTAGCTGTACTAACATGATAGAGAGTCATCATCATCATCATTACAGCCGTTCACAAGTCCACTGCTGAACATAGGCCTCCTCCAAGTAATGCCACAAAGCACGGTCCTGAGCCACCTGCATCCATCGACTTCTTGCATATCTTACCAGGTCGTCACTCCATCTAGTGGGGGGTCGCCCTACACTACGCCTACCGGTACGAGGCTGCCACTCGAGAACCTTTCTTCCCCATCGGTTATCGGTTCTTCGAGCTATATGGCCGGCCCATTGCCACTTCAGCTTACTAATCCGTTGAGCTATGTCGGTCACTCTGGTTTTACTGCGGATATCCTCATTTCTGAGTCTATCACGCAGAGAAACTCCGAGCATAGCCCTCTCCATAGCTCCATGAGCGACCTTGAGCGTCCTCATATGGCCAGCAGTGAAGGACCACGTCTCAGATCCGTAAATCATCACTGGCAACACGCACTGAGGTATACCTGACGAGAAGATGTAATTTCCCGAACGCTGCCCAGCCGAGTTGAATCCGTCGATTGACCTCTCGGTCGAAGTTGGACTTACCTAGTCGGACTATTTGCCCCAGGTAAACGTACTCGTCAACAACTTCGAGCATAGTGCTCCCAACAACTACCGGCATAGGTGTGACATGGACATTAAACATAATCTTTGTTTTGTCCATGTTCATCTTAAGACCTATCCGTTGGGAGGCACTATTGAGGTCATTGAGCATAGTGCTTAAGTCCTCCAGCGATTCTGCCATCCTTATTATACCTTACTTACCTTACTATATCGTCGGCAAATCGAAGGTGAGTGATGTACTCGCCATTGATGTTAATACCGTATCCTTTCCAGTCCAGTAGCTTGAAAACGTCTTCCAATGCAGCGGTGAAGAGTTTCGTGGATTAACGTCAACCTGTCTTACTCCTCTCTGTAGTTGGATAGGTTTCGAGCTCTGGTTCTGTACTCGGATAGCCATCGTAGCCCTACTGTACAAACACTTCAGCACTTGGATATACCGACAGTCAACTTGGCACCGCTGAAGGGACTGTAGCACCGTCCAAATTTCGACGGAATCAAAGGCTTTCTCATAGTCCACATACGCCAGGCAAAGTGGCAGATTGTACTCTTCAGTCTTCTGTACAATCTGTCGCAGGGTATGTATGTGGTCTATGGTACTGAAGTCTTTTCGGAAACCGGCTTGTTCGGGAGGCTGGAAGTCGTCGAGTCTGCGTGCGAGACGATTCGTAATGACTCTCGAAAACAGCACGTAGACGCGGCTCAGAAGGGAAATCGGTCTGTAGTTCTTCAAGAGAGCGTTGTCGCCTTTCTTAAAGAACAAGACCACCGCACTTCTGCTCCACGCATCTGGAGTAGTGCCACCATGGAGGACGGAATTGAAGAGCTTCTGAAGGACTTCAAGTACCGGTGTTCCACCCGCTTTCAGAAGCTCCGCTGTAATTCCATCCTCGCCTGGGGCCCTGCCGTTTTTAAGGTGCTGGAGAGCCATTCTAATCTCGCTCAGACTGACGTCCGGGATATCATCGGAATAGTGTCGGATAAGACTTGCTCTTGGATCGTTACTCACACTTGCGTGTGGCTCCAACGATGATGTGTACAGCTGCCCATAGAACCTCTCAATCTCACTCAAAATCTCAGGTGTCCCGAAAACGATGCTGCCACACTCAGTCTTCAGCTTTGACAGTTGGCTCTTACTGGCAGACAGATCTCTTGCAAGACTTTGGAGCCCTGGTTCCGCTTGATCGCTTCTTTAATACGAGCAGTATTAAAGTTGCGTAAGTCTCGCCACATGCATTTGGAGATCTGTCTGTTCAGTTGCCTGTATGCTGTCAAATCTGTTGACGATTGCAGCCTCATCTCCCGTCTAACAGCCATGAGATTAAGAGTGTGATCGGAGAGTTTTTCTGTTCTTCTGCGGCGGGTCTTGCAGAACTTAGCTCCGACCGCATGGACAGTTTCCACGAGCTTGTCATTCATATCGCCCACTGCATTGCAATCTTGTAGGCACTGAAAGCGGTTACGTAACTCGAGCTGAAAGTTTTCGGGATTCTGGATTAGAGCACGAGGGGGACGAATCTCATTTTTTGTCGAACCGTCGGGGCTCGACCAGGTCCACTTCCTGTGGGGCCGCTTCTGGAAGAAAGTGTTCATCATAAAGAGTCCCTCTTCCTCCATAAAGTTGGCCAGCTGCTGGCCCCTTCGGTTCCGTTGCCCTACTCCAAATTTCCCTAACTTCAGCTCACCGTTTTCTCTTGTACCTAGTTTTGCGTTGAAGTCTCCCATCAACACCGTATAGTGGGTTTTGGAGGAATGCATGATAGAGTGAATAAAGCTAATTAAACGTAAAAAATTATACTTTTTTTTCATCGGTATCGATTTTCTTGTCTCATCATCAAAGGTATCCTTATTACCATCGTCTGTCTTCGTTTTCGAGAGAGTTTCAAAAATATCCGTCATAGAGGTCAGCGATGAGGTGAAATATTTGACAAATTTCATAGTGGGGACGATAAATTCTTAGGAAAATGTAAACTTTAATGTTTCTATCCTAAACTTTCATTAAAAAAAAGAAAATATTCTATAAAAACATCAATACGTGTATTATTTTTATTTACTACATTAAAATTTACGCTTCATTTGTCTAAAAATAAGGATTATAATAATTATTTGCTATAAAATCTAATATTTGTGGTTGAAAATTATTTGGCGTTAAATCTTTTGAAGTGTTATTTTCATTTAACAGTACGAAATGATATTTTCATCTCGTAGATTATAAATACATAGATTGCCGAAAATTAAAAAAAATCCAGGCTATACGCAAGGCAACAAAAACGTTTAGATACATATTTTATACTTAGGAAATCTGTAAATGCCACTTTTTCTGTTTCCTAAACTAGAAAAAATATTGTATAGCGTAAGCGAATAAGCCGGACGTTTTTCAACATCGGGCCCCCGTGTGCCCTGGCACGGGCAGCGTGTACCTTTATAGTAAAGACGATACTGCTCAGATGTGCTTGCTTTGCACAAAATGTGCGCAATGCCCGTTCAATACTTATGGAACTACTACGTACCGTACACGTTACAAACACGCAATTTGCGATTCGCGATTGCTCCGGCCATTAGTCACTCAGACATTTATTTAATCTAAACTTTGATATTTTATACTAAATCCATCTGTTTTTAAGTTAGCTAAGCTAAATGTAATACAGATAACATGCTTTTAAAACGAACAAGGCTGTGAAAATGTAAAATAATGATAGCAGTGGATGAATGAACATTTTTGTAATTTGCTTTATCGTCTTAAATTTGATACAGGTAAAACTAATGGTTTACTAGTGGGCTTACAACTACTTTCACAAGTGTGATTAAATAATAAAATAAGTTCGTTTTGTTTTTGGAGTAAAACTACTTTAGGCGCGACTTAAGATTAACTCAGATATTTTTCCGCGCAGAACTAACGTTCTGTAAAATGTATAGTCCGTTTACGCTATTTCACATTTTTAAGGGAAACGTCTGACTACACTGTTTTGTACAGTGTGTGAATATATAACACATACACGTAACAATTTTCAGACGTTATATTATATTATAATGAAATTTATTTCTAGTCTTTTTATACAGTTCAATAATAATCAATAAAAATATTTTATTTATAAATAGTTTATTACTAAGCACCTACAAATTATAATTCAAAAACAATAATCAAATAATAACGTATTTAACTTACTCATTAATTTTTTTAATTGAAATCAGTAAATACACTTGACTTAGAAAATGTGAAATTGGGTGTAAGCCCACATTCAGTCCCAAACAAACTTGTGAAATTAATTACGCAAAGTTGGCATCTTTATTACTTAATATCTGCCACAGTTTTTATGGTAATTTTCTCTTCTTAAATAAATAAGTCATTAAAACCGATTATAAAATGCTAATATCAATTGCTTCTTCTACGCATGGAAGGCGTATTAAAAGGAATTTATATATATATATATATATATATATATATATATATATATATATATATATATACATACATAAAACTTCTGTAACTTAGGCTGTTCTAAAGACAAATTATAAATAAGAAGCTCCTATATTGAAGGTCTATTAAGAAAAACAAAATATTTAATTAGCGTATTGCAAATACAAATACGACATGAAACACTTGATTGGTTTCAAATTGTGTACAATACTCACCCAAAGCTGATCTTCAGAGTGTTACCCAGGCTAACCAGACTTGAAGACACCGTACCAGCGGGTGCCGTCTCACTCCTGTGCAGTTTCCTGTCGGGAGGAAACTATCGAGGTTATCCAGTTCTGATGATCCTCAGCTCTAGCGCTACAGGAGTTAGCAGGTTAGGGAGTCAAGTAGGACGGGAATTTTGTTTGGGACACTAGTGTGTGTAGTGTATGTATATATGTAGATGTAAGTGTTTATAGAGAATTATAAAAAAAATTAACAAGATTTGATAACTATTACGTACGCACGTAAAAATAGGGCACGATTTGCTTAGCATTACGCAATAATTTTATGTGCGTTATGTAGGATATGTATGCGAAACTTCCTCCATGAGGCAGTTTCGATAGAGAGCCTAAGAAGAAATACTGCATCTGCATGTTTGAGAACGTGAGGCCTGTTAACACGCATTGGGGATTCTTTGCCTGAAAACTTTCACATACGAGGTACCTTTGTCTAGTAGAGAGAAGTACATATTATGTATATAGGTTCTAACTTTACTTATTGTTAATTTCATATCGTGATTATATTTTGTTTTTTAGTTTTTGTTTTCGTGATACGGTCTAACTTCACTTCATGACGTCTAATTATTGCAACACATCTCCAATTTTAATATTTGTTTCTCTTTGCATATAGGTGTGCAGTCAGTTCAAGGCGACCGCTCAGTCAGTGTTGTGGGCGTGTGTGTACGTGCAGGTGCAGGTGTGTGCATATGTAGGTGCGTGTGCGTAACGTGTAGCGTGTACCCGCAGGGTGCGCCCCGCTCGTCCTCGTCGGCGAAGGAGCCGGCGCGGCGGCGGAACAGCTTGGGGCTGGCGCTGAGCTCGTGGCGCGGCGGCGGCGGGGAGGGCGGCGCGGGAGGCGCACTGGGCGGCGCGGGCGAGTCGTTGTGCTCGCCTGGTGCCGCGCGCAGCGCGCCCAGCGGGTCGTCCGTGAGCACCGGCGTGCGCGGACACACCCTGCGCACACGTGCACACACTATTCAACAAATATTATGGGTTGAATGCCAAAAAACACGTCTAGACTTGGTTGTTTGCAACACGCGTTAGAGCCCACGCGCCCAAACTTACTTGTTGTCATGAAAAGATACACAGTGTGTCCGGCCACGCGCCCCGTAGTGCCGCTTTTTTACGTATGTTCAAGTAAATAGTAAATATTAATTAAATGCGTGACACACCATTTAATAATACAAATTTAGGGATAATAGATGCTAAAAACCATTGATGATAACATGGATGATACATTTGACATGTAGTGACAGCAATAAGAAAATTCACTGCTGATAAGAAACAATAATGGTAAAACTGCGGCTGCCAAGTCGCCTGTTAAGACTGGCAACTACGACAAAATCCCCTACAAAATAACCTATAGAAAATACCTATGTTCAGCAGTAAACTATTCATATACTATAACGAATGATGGATACATTTTAAACGATAGTTATTATATGCAAAAGTCTCGAGTATATTTGCCAGTTTGCCACACTTAATGATAAATGATGGAAGATGCTATAAAATTGCTATGATAATTGATATGATTTTTTTTAATAGGATAAAGGTGACAATCGAGCACACAATCCATCTGATGGAGTGATTGCTGTGGCCCATAGACATCTACCTCAATTACGAATTAAAATGCAGATGCATTGTCATCCGTGAGGACCAAGATGTAACGCTTTGTTTTCCGTAAAATGGGTCTCCAGTTCTCTACACTCACCATATGAATCAGCAGCGTTAAGCTGCTATTTTACGCTGGTATTCTGTGAGTGCATGGTTCTTCCTTGGTCAAGCTGACCTAATCGTGCTACAACTATACTGCTGATATAGCAGCAGCATAGCTTTACCACGTAAAGAAAGTAAAATGTTAAAGGAAACGACCGCTTGATATAAATACCTATAATGCACAGATGAGTATGTATTGTGCATAAAAGTATACCATTAAGTGGATAATAAACTAGTATGTCAGTTGAATGCTATAAAAATGTTTTGAAAACAAAATGTTAAAAAACGATTCTGAAACAAAACATGTATCCACATAATTTTTACAATTATTACTATGCACTAAAATTTAATTCACTAATATACTTAAGTTTAAAATTATATCATACTTAAGGGGCGAAGACTTTGTTTTTTCCTTTGCTTCCACCGCAGCTGCTTCTTTCTCTGGTTCTTCGGGAAAACTCAAGGTCCTCGAACAGCGTGACTTGCTATTTGAAGCCCCTTTAAAAAGTATATATAATAGTATTTGATAACTGACGACTTTATAGTTAGTAGTCTTATATATTAGCTAAGTAATAGTAAGTCTTTAAAGTTAGCAAAGAATTGATAGAACTGATTACGCGCGAAACACACAAAATGCATGGTTGCGCGGAAAACGAATACCCTCGCATTTTTGTTCAGTTTGTTAGTAATTAGCCGGTACAGTCTCCCATCACATCCGTTTCCCTTCCACACGGGCCTGTAAGGGGGGGGGGTGTTAGACAGGTGGCGTCATTTTTTGGCCCAATGGGAGGCGCGCTCCGCTGAGATGGAAGTGGAGACAGCCAAAGAGGTAAAATGACGTGCGCCACCGCCGCTTGTCCAATTGCAACGCAGTGCCACCAACCTCGAGGCCTGAGTAAGAGGCCGCCAGGAGACCAACCCCTGTAAGTGCTTGCTGCTATAGATATTGAGTTGTCTTTTTTTGTTTCTTTTTGTTATGCTTTCCGTGGCATCAGCATTTTCTGCGTATAGGCTACTATATAATTTAATATAACTATAATATTAACGATAATTTAATTCACTATATTTTAGTGAATTAAATTATCGCAAGTGTATTGTCAAAAACCCGCCACGTGCCATGTCCGTCACTTTGTTTGGGTTATATAATATAAAAAAGCCATACAGTCCACTTTCGTTAATCTCACACAAAATAAATGAGTCCATTGTCCCCGGGAATCGAACCCGACACCCTGTGGCCTAGCCATTTTGTATTCATTCGTTCCGAATTCGAACCCAGGAACACTGACGCTCCACCAACGCATATATTAGAATTGCTGCGATAACGTAGATAACTTATTAAGCAAATTAAATGGGAAAAGTGCCGTGTGGTGGAGACGTAAAAATCCATCGCCTTATATTGTCTCATGGGTTGTCTAAAAAGCGACTATAGAAAATGTCAAAAAAATCTCATGAAAAATTGATTGATTGATGAGCTTGGTTGAGGATGAAGTTGGTTGCAAAATATCTATCTTCTTTATGCCAGGTGTAAAATGCGTACACTGGAAACTTAGAGGTGTTTCAAAGGTGCGAAATACGTGGTATTGTGACCAATGATCTCATTCCCAAAGGTGATGATTGTAGAAATCTGTGCTTGTTGGAGAGACCCTTGTCCAGGGCAGGTGTATTGGATGATGAAGCAAAATAAATGAAGAAGCCTTTAGTCTTCTTATGACAGCCAGCTTTAGAAATTTAGGCTAACTTTTGGTTATATAATTTTTGTAGCATGTACTCAATTTAAACAACTTTTTTAATAGAAGATTGTAATGATAGGAATGTACGTTTTCGAAATTTCTCTTATAATATTACATCTTAATTATCTGTTGTAATATAAATTTTAAATTATTATTTAACATTAGCGTAGAACCCGAACAAGGAAGAAATTGTAATCTCGATATAATAATACGTATTAATATTGTGCTAATAGCACTTATTGCGACCTTAAATGTAATTTAATTCATACCTCTAAGTACTACACGTAACTATTTATATTTATTAAATTTATTTCGAGTTTAAGCATTAAGGTGTATGTTTTCTAGAACATGCAAAAAAAAATTTAAATAACGCGTGAAGACTATTAAAATCGTATAGTCGTTTTCATATTCCTTCGTCGATAAATCCCCTAGATTATTCGTACAAGGGATTGCTTGTTCCTTGTTTCTTTATGAATTAAACGATTTCTTCTATGTTTCTAAATAATTATTTTAATATAATAGCAAATTTCTATACGATAAGTTAAAAGGAACCTTTCAATTTTAAGTACATTAATTAAATTCGCTGTAATGTTATATTGTCCGATGAAGATTGTGGCGGCGCTGTCGTCGCGCCGCAAGCGAAACACACCGAAGCCTAAATCACGCTATCAAAATTCCGAATCATAAACAGTATATATAGAACATTTCCGAACGTTGGCCGCTCCCCGGGCAGAACACCTTGCCCGGCGGGAGATCTCCCCTTTTCTATCCACGGCCACAAGATAAAGCTTACCACTGGAAAAGGATAACTTCTGCAAACTTTGTACAATCTGCGCGTCACCGGCAAAACTCTGGGACCGGGTCAAAATACGCAGGTCCGACGGACTGTCTGGACTGACGTGTATTGTCTGCAAATATAATAAAAATAATTATCATTTTTATTTTCATCTCATCATTAACCTATAAAAAGGATGACTTCCTTCTTGTGTGTGTGTGTGCGTGTGTGCATGCGAGCGCGCGTGCGTGCGTGCGTGCGTGCGAGCGTGCGTGCGTGCGTGTGTGTGTGTGTGAAAGAGAGAAAAGACAATACCTGACGTTTTTCAGTTACTGGCAACGGTGTGGGGGAACCGGTATTTTCGCTTTCCAAGGAATTGCTTCTTGGTCTAGCCACTTCACTCAAATCAGGATTGGAAGGTAAACCTGAAAAATATTTCATTGGTTTTCTTTCTTATGATTGTAATGCGGGAATGGTTGTGTATCTGAAGAGACTGTATGATAAAAAAAATGAATATCCATGTACGTGAGAGCAAGAGGTGCAAAAAAGGTTAAAAAGTGATTTGTGATTATAAACAGAAAAAAAAATGTAAAATTCAAAATAATATGAACCGGTATATGGCGTACTGCGTTTCTTCTCGCCTTCAATTTCAACTTTTTATCTGGGTAGGAGTCTATCTCGATAGATAGCGTATCTATTTCTGCCGCCAAACAACAGTGGGTTCTCTACTATGTTCTGGTTTAAAGGGTATACGGAGCCAGTACAATCACTGGTACACAAATTATATCATATCACAGTACAAAATATTATACGTGGTAGAGCCATGCTGCAGTTATATTAGTAGTATATTGACGAATGGGTCGGCTCGATCGTGGAAAGACCACGCTCTCACAGAATACCAGCGTGAAATAGTAGCTTAATGCTGCTGTATTTCGTATGGTGATTGTAGAGAACCTGAGACCCTTTTTACTCGAAACGAGGTATTCCATCTTAGTCCTCACGAGTGACAACACATCTGCATTTTGATTTGTAATCGAGGACAGACGTAGATGTCTATGGGCCGCAGCAACCACTTACCATCAGGTGGACTGTGTGCTCGTTTGTCACCTTATCCTATGAGTCATTCCATGTTAGTACTTAGGGGTGACGAGGAATCTGTCGCTGTTTTCATTAGTTAATTGTAGATGTCCATGGGTTATAATAGTTAAATGCCTTCAGGTAGACTGTAAGTTCGGTGGTTATTGGTTGCAATAAAAAAAAAAAGATTTTTGACGATAAAAGTATCATTTAATAATGACAAAAGCCAATAATATAAAAAATCACGTCACCTGAGATCAGTATACCGGCGGCGGCAGACAGTGCGTGTGCGTGTGGACGCCTCGACGCCGCTCGCACAATGTTGGCGCGTCGCCACAGAGCTTCTAACGCACCGCCTGTTAAATATGGAGTAAGGCTAAACTTATATACGGGGTCATTTTGCAATAACCGAGCAAATTTGCAGTGAAGATTTAGAATAAGTTACTTAGTTACAACCTATATATATATATATATATATATATATATATATATATATATATACATATATATATATGTCCCACTGCTGGGCAAAACTAACACTCACACCAAATATCGCCGCAGCAAGTTCACGAGAACGGCAGAAATTAACACTTTGTAACTTTTCGGGGTCTATTTTCATTTCAGTAAAAATGTTAAAACATTCTTGATAACAACACGTGGTTGTGCTGGTATATTGGTGCCAAAAGGCAAAATATTATTTTGAATACCTAATTTCTGCCGTTTTGGTACAAAACAAAGGAGTAGCCATTATGTCACTAAAGAAATTCAGAGAGCGAATGCGCAAAAACAAATTTCTCTTCGATATATGTACTAAATTATCATTGCACTAATTTGCAGGTATTAGGCGGGGGTAATAATGGAAAACATAAAAATGTCGTATCACCATTTGTATACCGCACCGCTTGCCTTCGATGATTCATTTGTTGTTATCGATAATGGCGTTTCGCCCGCGCAACATGCTCACCGCCCTAGTCGGGCTGAGGCCGAGCTATGATTTATGACCCCAACTGCACGGACAAAATAATTTTACTATGGCTAATAAGTGTCCATTTCACCGTAAAAAAATTGTTCAACTATTTGTATTTATTTTACTTAAAATAAATAACTTGACGCAATGCGCACAAGAAGAAACGCAAACACACTATCCCGGAAGATTCGCGGTGAACTGAAAGCGAAACTTCCAAATTCCAAAATGGGGAAAATAATAAAAGTAATAAATAGAGCTAATCCTTAAAATACCTAAACAAGGCATTTAAATACAAGTAATTTAGTTTTTAACAATTAACAATTTATTGATTGGTTAAAAAAGTTCATTTTTGTACAATTGAACTTACAAAACTACCGTTTATTGAGTGACTTCCTATTAAACGGGTAAGGAGGTATGACTTTAATTGGTTATTTTGATTAAAACTACTTTTACGGATTTTATCGCGTTTTATTTATTTTATTTTTAAGTCCCCCGTGACCATGGGTGCTGGAAAGCACCCGAAACGTCGGGATTTCAAAATAAAATAAATAAAATGCGATAAAATCCGTAAAAGTACTTTTAATCAATGTATAGTGTTCGCGTAAATATAAGAAATCATTAATTGGTTATTTTTTTGGGTTTTTTATCATGTCAAAACAAATTATTATCTTTAAATCAACAAGAACACACTTAAACAAAAAAGATTTATAGTTTATCTTTAAAGGTCGCAGTGTTTTTAGAATTATCATAACAACACGAAAATTCTAAAAACACCATGCCCTAAGTATTTAAAGCTAAACATATTTTTTTTTGTTTATCGATCGATTACCCTCTTTGAAAGAAGCTAATGGTCGATAACAGGTGTCTTACTCTACGACACAGGCGTGCGCGCAACGTCTTCATAAATATCATAACTTAACAAAACTATTTTTAGTAGTCTGTTGCGATGCGTTTGGTTCGCAACCTTTTGTTGCAACTCAAACAGATGCAGAAATAATGAACTATTTAGTTTCTAGCGGTGAAGGCTTATTTCAATACTTTCATCAAAATGATGTATTCATTTTAGACCGTGGCTTTAGAGATTCTATTTCCAATTTAGATGCAATCTTAGGTTGTTAGTGTAATTGTGTAGCTGGAAACCGGACTGTTGAATGTTGTGCACATATAATGACTATTCTGTGGTACTTGGGATGGCCGAGATACCAAGAAAATATTATTCCACCAGCTGCATTTCTTGATAATGTACAAATAACATTAAATGACTGAATGCATAAAATAATGCAAGTTGTTTTATTTTCTGTCTAATATATTTTGATATATAATAGTACCTAGTACTAATATTGTTATAAAAAATAGTTAAAAACAATAAAAATAATTTCAAGGACTCAAAAAACTGTTGTCCCTGTATTTTTTTAGCTAAACCAGTTAGGATTCATTCTAAACATCTGGGACACATGAAATTATAACTTTATTAGTATCTAAATTGTGTAATTATGATAAATATCGACTGACAAAATCAACATTTTTAAATCTTCATAACTTTTATCCACTACTGCGTAGCTATGTGAACTTTTCAAATTTTTTATATAGAAGATCTATACTTTCAAATGACATATATTTCATTTTTATACATGGTAGAGCCACGCTGCAGTTATATTAGTAGTATAGTTGTAGCACGAATGTGTTCGGCTCGACCGGAGGAGGACCACGTTCTCACAGAATACCAGCGTCAAATAGTAGCTTAATGCTGCTGTGTTTCGTATGGTGAGTGTAGAGAACCGGAGATCCTTATAACTGGAAACGAGGCATTCCATCTTAGTCCTCACGGGTGACAACGCATCTGCATTTTGATTCGTAATCGAGGAAAGATGTAGATGTCTATGGGCCACAGCAATCACTTACCATCAGGTGGACTGTGTGCTCGTTTGTAATCCTATGCTATAAAAAAATTCCTGTACTGTCTGGGGCATGGGCTCAAACAATGTTTGGCCATTCAAGAACCAATCTGACATGTGTCAATTTTTTTTTGTCTATGAATGCTTAAAGTTGAGTTTGTCAGATAGCGCTTGGATTATCCCTTAGGAGAATTTCTATCTTGTCTATGAATTTTAGTGTAAAACAATTACCTAATTTCCTGTCCGTGAAAAGACACAAACAAGTAAACAATTGAAATGTTCATATTATATGCCTATTGATAGTGAAAGGATTAAAATGCGAATAAGTTTTAATAAAATCAGTGTTCTTTTGCGAAAATCTATTTAAAGATGTTAAAAATTAACAACACTAACATTAATAACACAAGAGAGCACACTGCGCATGTTGACCACCACCAATAAACTTAAAACACTTAACAGTCAGCCGTCGTAGTCTATTTCAAATTTATATATATATAATATATATATAATATATATATATAAATTTGAAGATTATATAAAATGAAAGTCGGGAGACACCACCGTCAATAATAAGACACGCGTTTCGCCTTTAAACGAGGCATCATATATTATATATATATAAATTTGAAGATTATATAAAATGAAAGTCGGGAGACACCACCGTCATTAATAAGACACGCGTTTCGCCTTTAAACGAGGCATCATCTGGTGAAATAGACTACGACGGCTGACTGTTAAGTGTTTTAAGTTTATTGGTGGTGGTCAACATGCGCAGTGTGCTCTCTTGTGTTATTAATGTTAGTGTTGTTAATTTTTAACATCCTTAAATAGATTTTCGCAAAAGAACACTGATTTTATTAAAACTTATTCGCATTTTAATCCTTTCACTATCAATAGGCATATAATATGAACATTTCAATTGTTTACTTGTTGTGTCTTTTCACGGACAGGAAATTAGGTAATTGTTTTACACTAAAATTCATAGTCAAGATAGAAATTCTCCTAAGGGATAATCCAAGCGCTATCTGACAAACTCAACTTTAAGCATTCATAGACAAAAAAAATTGACACATGTCAGATTGGTTCTTGAATGGCCAAACATTGTTTGAGCCCATGCCCCAGACAGTACAGGAATTTTTTTATAGCATAGGATTACAAACGAGCACACAGTCCACCTGATGGTAAGTGATTGCTGTGGCCCACAGACATCTACATCTTTCCTCGATTACGAATCAAAATGCAGATGCGTTGTCACCCGTGAGGACTAAGATGGAATGCCTCGTTTCCAGTTATAAGGGTCTCCGGTTCTCTACACTCACCATACGAAACACAGCAGCATTAAGCTACTATTTGACGCTGGTATTCTGTGAGAACGTGGTCCTCCTCCGGTCGAGCCGAACACATTCGTGCTACAATTATACTACTAATATAACTGCAGCGTGGCTCTACCATGTATAAAAATGAAATATATGTCATTTGAAAGTATAGATCTTCTATATAAAAAATTTGAAAAGTTCACATAGCTACGCAGTAGTGGATAAAAGTTATGAAGATTTAAAAATGTTGATTTTGTCAGTCGATATTTATCATAATTACACAATTTAGATACTAATAAAGTTATATATATATATATATATATATATATATATATATATATATATATATATATATATATTACGTATCATGTTGTTTGCCCGCGATGGACTCCTAAACAACTTAACTGATTTTAATCAAATTTGCATACCGTGTGCACTTTTGTACAACTTGAGAGATAAGATAGTTTATTTGCCCACCCACAATTTTTTTGCGAATATAAGAATTTTTAGTAGGACATGACAAAGGGTCGAAAAGGTCAGAACAACTCTCTGTCTGTCTCAGTGGCGAAGCCTCTATACAAGCCCAGAAGCCCGGCTTGCCTCATTAAGATGAATCAATCAATTATAAAATTAATAAAATAACTCGTAAACTGTTTTCAAGCTATTTCAAATTTCCCGACCTCGTAGCCTTACGAATACTGCTGTCATACATATAAGGAGAGTTGAATTGAGCGATTGGTTTTCTCCCTCGCTCGCGTGGGCTTTTTACCGGGCTTTCGAGAAGGTGATCGCTCCATTTCTAACCTGTGGCAAAATGTTCTATAATGAAATATAACTACGAAATTTTTATATAGCAATTACTATTGAGCTACAAGCCTGGCTTTGCCATGAACTTGTTTAGGAGTGCGTTGGCGACTAGCGAATGGGGTGCGGGCCATTCGTATGCAATTTCACTTCACATATCAATGTTTATGTTTCTTTTTGTTGTGTTTGTTAAAAATTTATGCTTTTTCAAAGATTTTCAGCGAAAATGGGAGGATAATAGTGTTCATTGTGATGAATATAAGTGTGTTGAAGTGCTAATCGGCGAGGAAAAGGTAAAATCTTTAAAAATGAAATTTTATATTCAATAAACATTTCTCCATACTTTAAATATAGGTACAGGACTCTTTAGTATTAAAGTTTAATTAAGTTAGGCGTATTTAAAGGTTTAATAACTCAATATTTATATTACCATATGGATTAAAAATATCAATTTGAACGGCAGCATAAAATATGAGACACCTAGGTTCAATTTTATAGGAAATAAGTGTTACAATCTTTTTTTAACGTGAAGCCCAAATTTTAATGTAATAAAACAAAAGAATGCAGAAGAATGTATTGAGGTTTTTAAAAAAATATTCCCTTTAGTTATTTCCAGCATATAAAATTTTAATAGCGCACTCTACTTAATTCTATAGGTAGTTATTTTATCGAACGGAAATTGGTTGATTCTCACGATGGTACCTAAAGATTACGCTAGATGGCACAAATACGCTATCGGCTAATTTATATTACCATGAGTTTAAAAATATCATTTTGTTCGGTTTATTATGAATTGAAAATGAATAATTATATAATAAATAGTCATTATTTTATGGTAAATTGCTGTGGTAGTCTGTTCTTTAATGCATATAACTTAAACAAAATATAATTTCGAGGTTTCACATCTGCCAGGCGTGCCTTTTTAACTTTGTACATAGTTTGTTTGTACTTTGTTCATGCTTTTCTTTTGTTCATGTATTGTATTGTTTGTAAATATCTCAAGAAAACCCAAACGGCTCTTTTCAAAACCACCGAAAGTGTGCAATTGCATGTGTCATACAATCTATCTAGCGGTAGTATGCTTTCTGTGTGCTTTGTTAAACACGTACTTGACAGCACTGAATATGATCCTAAAGAGTGGAGACAGCTCAAGATTGGTGTATTTTTATTAAACTGCTAAAAACAATAAAACCATATCTTGGACTTGCCCTAGTTTGGAGCCCTAGCTTCGCCACTGGTCTGTCTGTCTGTCTGGCATGCTAGTATATGTAAATATATATATACATATATATATATATATATATATATATATATATATATATATATATATATATATATATACTTTTATATATATATCTTTTATTATATATTATATATATATATATATATATATAATATATATATTATATACATTATTAACTTAAATATGTTAACTAACAGAATCAACATGTTTAATCGGAATAAGTTTTGATTGTTGAATAGAAGGTCGTGCGACGTACCCGAGTCAATGCTGGTGCGGCTGCGCGCGGGCTCGTGCGGGCCGGGCAGCGCGAGCGGCGTGGGCGGCGCGGCCGCGTCCGGCTCGCATGCGCCCTGCACGCCGCCACCGCTGCCTGCAACCAACGATCTCACAACCACTTCTCTTTTAACGCTTTTTTAGCGCAAAGCTTTTAGCGCTCCTTCCTATCCTGACATGCATATGAAACAGGCGTGCGACATTCCATGAAAAATAAGTAATTTTTTTAGAAAATTTTTTGCTTATTATCAGGAAATAAAGGATCTAAATAAAAATGTAGCCGATAAAGAATTTAAATCAATAGCATGCCTTACATATTATCGGAAAATATTATACTATGGTCATCGCTTAAAAAATCGAGAACTCGAACGTCGTTTTTTTCCGGCTATTGGTTTATTATTTTTATCCCCATATAAAGGTAAAGAATTTTGATGAACAGACGTGAACCACCAAAAATGACCACTAAAAAGACTAATTTTCTGAAAATGTACCTGACATTGCAAATTATAACATCTTAAATCTTTTTGAGAAATATGCCAAAGCCACCATCTTTCTCTTATTACAGAAAATCTGAAGAATGGTCAGAAGTAATACCAGCTAATAATTCATATTTTTTTTGCGAGGTGAATGACCCAGACTTCTTGTCAATAAAAATATAAAGATGTTTACACACCGGAAAGGTTGTGTTGTGCGTTAGCCCGACTGGCTCGCAGCGCGCCCGCTTTGCGGAACAGCGCCGCACCCATAACGGCTATACGCAACTTGTTCCACAGCAACTGCGATCCACTGTCGAACAAATACACCACATCATCATCATCAACATTATACAAATATTATTTTTAATATCTTTACATCTACAAAACGAGTTACCGAGGTCTGAAGGCTCAAAGGTAGTCAGCAATCAGTACGAACGTGTCGACTCTGCGCGAATAAGCACGTAACGTCATGGGTTAGGAGACCCAGTATGGAGGAGGAGTTTCCTTAATCGTGATCTTGTCAGGTGGATAGTAGATAACAAAGCCAAACATTTCCGCCTCGGACACTTCCTTCTACCCGTTTTGTCGGTCTATGTATTTTACGTCTGTCTTAAATGGGACGTATATATCGCCATTTACAGAAAGCCATAAGCATTTCTATGTTTATGTCCCATAGTCACCTTTTACCGTCACCAAAGGAACGAAATGGGGTGATAGATTCCCCTACGCCGCCATTACATGATAGAAGCTGTCTTGTTTAGGTAAATCTTTCATGTTTTTACTAAGTTGAAATGCTGCATATTAACCTGTTGATTTATAGAAGCCGGTAAAGAGAAGAAGGGAAGGGGGAAGTATGACGTACCTAGGCATGTCTTTAGGCCAGGCTGCTTCCAGAACGCATCGGTTGTAGTATCCGTAGGTGAGCGCGTTGGGCTGAAGGCCTGCGCGCTTCATGAGGAACAGCAACTGTACAGCCAGGACTGGCAACGAGTAGATGCCGCATAGCTGCATCATCACACGGTAGCACACCTGCTCGCATACAAAAAAATTTACTTAGAATTGTATTACAATTTACCATGAGTTATTTTTCAAACAAACAATTTAACAAACAATGTCCAAAAACACATCCAGTGTTTCAGTAAGACTTAACAGGCCGTATTTAAAAGTTTCATTACAGCCTCAAAATATTTTTTACATATGATGAAATCAATTAAATATGAATCTAGCATGATCAATTTAAAGGCAACTTTATTAAAGTCACTATTTTTAGACTCTCACTTAAGCAATTCTATATAAGATGCTTCTCCATAGTTGCAAAGTAGATCCAAGTTGCTGCCATAACCAAAATAGTTGTGCGAGAAGCTTAGATTTTCACTATGTTCCTCACGAGAATGTGTGAAAATGTGGCTTTCAGTATGCTACCACTAAGTACTCAAATAGGCACCTTCACTCAAACTCTGCCCAAAAATTATAACAGGCTTCTCAATTTTAAGATAAAGCTAAAAGAACATCTTAATGCAAAATAACCCACTGCAAATAAATAAAAAAATAATAACCAATTTCATTCCTATAAACTTTCTTAATCTTACCTCATCACAAGGAACTCTTAACTTCGTAGCTCGCTCGAGCAATTCGAAAGCAGCCCTCAGAGCCGCATGCTCCTTCCCCCGGTACAACATAAGTCGACACGGCAGCGCCAGGAAATAGAGGGAGTAACAAGCTCCAAGCAAACATTTCGCCCACGCTTCTGGTGAAAGGCTTGCTTTTCGTGCCAATCTGTAAAAAATCAACAATTCAATTTTATTGTGCCTACTTTTTGTAATTTTTAGCCAATTTGTTTCTTTATTTGATTCGATTGTATGCTCCGAGGTCGTATGACAAGTGCATCAACCATTGACTACTAAATAAACGGGCAGTGGAATCAGTACCTGCCTCCATGAAAGCTTGAAAACGTTTGATGTGCACGTCGCTTCAGAGATTGCACTAATCAATTATTACTAAACTACAAACCAATCGGGCAGCAAGATCAAAGTCTGTTTTTGCGCAAGTTTGAAAACATTTATTTCGCACGTTGCGTTAATGTAGTGATTTTACCTATTACTAAATACTAAAATAACTACTAATCAGGCATCGAAATCGCTATTCGATATATCGAGGGCGGCTATCGCGAGCGGTTGCTACAGAGCTACATTGCTACAGCGCGTACCTCTGCGCGGCGGCTATCTCGTGCTTGGTGCGGCGCGCCATGGGCGAGGCTTCGGCGAGCGACTCGACGGACGCGAGCGCGGCCGCCGGCACGGCCCGCAGCGCGCCGCCGCCCCCACCAGCGCTGGCGCCGCGGCTGCGCTCCAGCAACTCCATATCCAGCTCAAACTTACTGTACGTGTATGTTCGTTCTGCACAACCAAACAGACTCAACTCAACTATGCTACCCTAACTGCACCCACCCTCTGGTTAACAGAATGACATACGGGGCATTCACACCACACGCATCTTTTTCCCTTCTTTCTTTATCAGCCGAAAACATTCAATAGTGGTCGCACACATATAAACCTAAAACTATTTTGTTGGTTGCTAATGATTTTAGATGCATATCTGTACGTTATTGCATATACTTATAGTAAGTTGAGCATGGTTTCGATTTGGTCTTACTGTCACTTGAAATGTACGCAGCTCTGCGTCTTTGTTTTTTGGTCTATGGTCGTACCTTACAAATATTTAAGACACCGTATAGAAAAACCCTTGCAAATTCCATCATCTCGAACTAATACTGACCGCAAGTAAATAAAATTACAGCCTATATATTATGTCATACTAAGTACAGACCTCTAATTTTTGAAAGGGTTTCAGAACAAGCAATGTCCAACACGCAGCGTATTGACAGACTGCATCACTATACATATCCAAAATATTTTTTTAAACACCTTTTAAGAATAATGTCAAATTACAATGAGATACAGAATAAAGAATTATCCGGGTACATAGCATAAATATTTTAAATTGTTTAAGTAATATGTGTAATGTAGCAGTATTTGTTTATAAAACAAACAACGCACAAGATTATAATGCTGTAGGAGATTTGAAGTAATAAACATAGCGACGTAAATTGCTAAAAAGAGCGACAGTAATTGGGGCAAGTTTAGTAATAAAGAATGACAACTTATTACATACAATTCATTACATTTAATTTAATTTTGACATTCAATGGTGTCAATAGATTTTTTTATAAACTGACGTTAGAACAGGTTGAGAATGCAAAAGAGAAAGAGCATAGTGTAGCGTATGTTAGAGTGAGAAAGATAGGCGAGATCATTCATGTACACGCCTGCGGCCTGTATCAGGCCTGATGTCATTCGTGAACAAATCAAATCCCGCTTGTATTTACAAAATCTCGGGTTTAAAGTGAACATTAGTTTCAATAGACGTAATTAATTATTGTTGCAAGCCATAATTGATGCCGCTAGCACCATCTAGTGTCGGGGAGCAGAGCGAGGAGAGCTTTCTAGAAAATGCCATGCCTGAACTTTCCACCAACAGATCAATCATAGAATCAAATAGAAGAATTAAGCTTTCTAGAAAAGTCCACACTCGATTTTTCTACATCTAGTCGGTAGGGACCGGTATATGCTTGAACATTCTAGATGTTTCGGTGGAAAAGGCCTATAAAAAGCCATTTTGGGCCGCGATCGGGGTAGTATTGAATTGGCGATACGAGCGAAGCTTCGGAGCGAAATAAAGTGAATTAAAGTGTTAAGTGTGATTAATTATTAGTGTGATTTAAGTTTTAATTGGTGTTCGGTAATTAAAGTGTCAATTTTGGTAATTCAATCGGCAGTTTTTATAATAGGAAATATCTCCTCTACAGTTAAGAATTCCAAATTCAAATTTATAAATTCATTTAGCTGGTACATTTGAGTTTTGAAAACAGTCATTCATTTGTTTTTTCCTTATTATTTTTGTCTTTGGCGTCGCTTATTTCCGCACAATTGAAAACATGAAATATCGGTATATTTACGAGTACTAGTTCTACCGTGGTACCAGTTCTGCAGAAACAGCTCGAAGGATTAATGATGTGTACGGCGCTGGTGTCGAAAAAGAAAGCATGGTACGTTTTTGGTTTCAGCATTTTCGTTCTGGAAATTTCGACCGTCAGAACCAACCCCGTGGACGGCCGGAGAACAAAGTGATAAATGAAGAATTAAAGGCTATTGTGGAAGCGGATCCATCACAAAGCACTTCAGAGATAGCTGCAGGCTTCGGGGTAAGTGATAAACTGTATTAATCCACTTGAAGCAAATCGTGAAAGTAAAAAAAAAACTTAAACAATGGGTAAAAAACCTCATGAATTGAGTGAATCGAACTTGCATACACGCGTCCGACTGCTGTTACTTTGCTCAACCGACACAAAAAATGAAGGGATTTTAAATCGAATCATTACTTGTGATGAAAAGTAGATACTGTACGATAATTGGAAGCGCTCGTCGCAATGGCTGAACCCTGGAGACCCAGCCAAAATCCTGCCTTAAACGAAAAATGACTCAGAAAAAGTTACTTGTGTGTTTAGTGGATTAACGCCGGTGTAGTTCACTACAGCCTTCTAAAATCTGGCCAAACGATTACAGCAGATATCTTTTGTCAGCAAATGCAAACCATAAAGGAAGAACTAGCTGCTAAACAACCGAGATTGGTCAATCGCTCTAGGCCACTGCTGCTTCATGACAACGCAAGACCACACTGCACAACAAACAACCACTAAGTTAGATGAGATACAATTGGAATGTCTGCGACATCCATCGTACTCCCCGGACCTTGGTCCAACAGATTACCATTTTTTCCGGAATTTGGACAACTTCTTACAAGGAAAAAAATTCAACTCCGATACAGCAGTCCAAACCGTCTTCAAAGAGTTTATTGATTCTCGCCCCCATGGTTCTTTTTTAGTAAAAGTATCAATGAACTACCCATGAGATGGCAAAAGTGCATAGATGACAACGGTGCATACTTTGATTAATTAAATATATTTTACAAAAAAAAATTGCCTTTATATTTCTCCCGTACAAAACGCAAATTTCATATGTAAGGACCTATTATAACCAGAGAGGGAAAATCCTCATTATTAAAAAAATTACCCAAAAGTACGATTGAAATGTTTAGTTACCTAAATGCTGTGTTTTAGAGCAGATACAAATAATTAGTACGCAAATGGATACGAAATATTATCACATCTTATCAATGATCTAAATGAAAAAGAATTGAATTTAAAAATAATTACAAATACGTGAAATCCTGGTAATTCTAACCTCACATTTGTACCGCCAGACTTTCTGGCAATGGTATGCCTTGCATGCAGCCTTATTTAATTTAGTAATATCTTTTTTAATTTTAGCGTTCCATAACTGTTTTCTCAATCTAATAATGTTTAGTATTCTGTTGTTACTATTTTTATTGTATGATTTTTTTTTATTCGTATTAGGGTGGCATATTTTCTCAAAATATTGATGTTCGACAAAAATTATTGATTAATCAATAGAGAAGAACCGATTCCCAAAACAAAATTATCGACTATATGCAAGTATATATCCAACCATATAATAAACATTTATTCATAAAATTACTACTTAAAACTTGTTATTATTAAAATAAAGTGTGTAGTAAAATTACAAACTATTGTTAAGGAGAGCTCACAACATTTTGAAAACATATTAGTAAAGTAAAGTAAAGTTACAGCCTATATACGTCCCACTGCTGGGCACAGGCCTCCCCTCATTTCTGAGGGGGTTTTAGGGCAAGGAAGTGTCCGCCGCGCTGTCCCAATGCGTGTTGGCGAACTTCACATGTCTTCGAAATATTTTTTTTCTTATTCCTCAGACATGCAGGTTTCCTCACGATGTTTTCCTTCACCGCCGAGCACGTGGTAAATCAGCACTTAAAATTGCAATTAACAATTTCATTGGCACCGGCGGGGCTCGAACCCGGGTTACTCGCGTTCTGTTATATTTACAGCGAGCGTTAACCATCTGAGCTACCACGGCTCTATAAAAATATATTAGTTCTATAGAAAATATAAATGTAACAACTTTTGTTTGTACTTTTCTTTTTATTCCAAAAAAAAACACTATGAAAAGTTCAAAACTAAAGCCCAACTACATTTCAGGGCATCTTGGTAATAACATGTAACTACGGTAACATACAAAACCGTTTTATATTAATTATAATTTTTTGCAATAGGTAAAGGTCTGAAATATGGTTATCAATGTTCTAAAGAATTGTCATCATGGTCTTGTTTAATACTTTTTCAGTACACGTTTCCCTATCGCAGTTTGGTTTTAGTTGTAAATTTTAATCGACATAAACATCATACAACGCATATAATTTTTTAAGAACAGTATTTCTTTCAGCGACTTCATATTAACATATTTTGAAGTTTATATCGTCTTGGTACCGTACCTAGTACAGGTAATAAATACAGGCTGTGAGCCATTTCATTTCGGTCTTTAGAGGTTACAACGACGTAGTCTTAATTTGTTTGAATAAGTTTTCATGGTCTGCAGTAGCCATGAACCATCATCAGATGGACCGTATCTTCGTTGATTGTTTCAGTTTTATAAAAAAAAAACTTATAAACATATGGGATGATGCATTTTCGGATTATTTTTTGGAACATTCCGAATTATACCTTTTATTGGATTCCAAACCCGATATTTCAATATTTATATTATTTTTTTTCAGAATAGTAATATTGTACAGAAGTATATGTCCGCAAACAGCCGCCATGTTTTTATGTTACTTCATGCAGCCTCAAACCCGCGAAAGAGCACAATGCTTCTAGTTATCAGCCAAAATAGTTTAGATCTGCGGGAACAGTTGAACATAATGATAAATTAATAATACTATATATATATATATATATATATATATATATATATATATATATATACAATATGTAACAAAAGCCCTGTGGTTCCCGTTAAGTGCGTTATCAGAATCAGTATCCAAGCATATAGAAATAATTTTTTTTCCAAAAAAACCCATTTTAAAAAATTAACTTTGATGAAAAAAAAATAATTTGCAAATTGTATGTGGTTTTATTATCTCTAACTCACACGAGTATCGATTCTGCGGGGTCTTTGACAATCCTCTTACTCCTCAGCCAATGCAGAGATAATAAAATCACATACAATTTGCAAAAAAATAAAATATTATATAAATGGCGGGAAATAGAGTAAATGGGGCATTGCACTCTATTGTGAAGAGTCAAAATGTGTCGAAAAAGGCACGTATGGCAATTCACAATGCTGTGTTGGTCCCTACTTTAACATATGGTAGTGAAAGTTGGGTGTGGCAGAAGAAGCACGAGAGTAGAATAAACGCAGTAGAAATGCGGTCGTTAAGGAGTATGTTAGGGCTGAATCTGAATGACAGGGTAAGAAATTGTGTAATAAGAGAAGAGTGTGGTTTGCAAGATGATGTTGTGACCAGGATTAAGAAAGGAATGCTTCGGTGGTTTGGTCATGTGGAAAGAATGAATGAGGAAAGAGTGACAAAGAAAATTTATGGTGCAGAAGTGAATGGCAGAGTCGGAAAGGGACGTCCTAGGCGAAAATTTATCGACCAAATTGGCGATTTATTGAAAACGGGCCAAATTAGGAGTACCCTTAACCGACGAGCATGTATGCGTAGGTGTATGGATGTGAAGGAGGCAAGAGAGGTGTGTCAGGATCGTGCCAAATGGAAGTCTGTAGTCTCTGCTTACCCCTCTGGGTGACAGGCGTGAGTGTTTATTTATGTATGTATATATATATATATATATATATATATATATATATATATATATATATATATATATAATATACAGTGGTTTGATTTCACTTATAGAACGTAAATTCAATGAATTTACAAAAAACGCTAGTTTGTATATATATATACATAGTACCTTTACGAACTCCATGTTCAAATGAACTTTAACTCCGTGTGCATAATATGTTTGTTATAAATAAGTGAATAAGTATCGGGTGTACGCACCGGGGTCGGGCGGATCGGGCGGCAGCACGAACACGGTGCGTTCGGAGGCGTTGCCGGCGTCGGCGCCCAGCAGCGGCGCGTCGCTCGCCACGCGCTCCGTGCACTCGTCGAAGAACGTCAGCCCCTGCTCCGCGTCGCACACGAACGACCGCTCCTCGATGAATCGCGTGAACATCTGCGTGCGCATCATCAGAGCGAAGAACCGCTGCTGCGTCTGCGCAACAACACACAACACCCTCATCTTACTACATACTGATACCACTTAGGGACATTCAACAGTCTATTATTTTTAAAAGAACCGGCAACGCACCTAAATCACCCAAGTATTACTGTTGTTCGTGGACGGTGGTAGTTGATTACCATAGTTTTATATCACTAAACATATATTCGCAACGCGAACCAATCGAAAGCAATGGAATTTACATAGAAAAAAATTTGTGAATTTATTTTGTGCTATGGAAAATATTATAATTTTATTTGAAATAAAAAATCAAATAAATTACAAAAAATATATTTTCTACCAATATACTATGAAGTAAAGTAACATAAATACAAGCACAAATTACCTCATGGCCCCTCTACTCAGACTTATTTTATACAATATAATGCCGATAATTATTGTGAGCACTATGTTAACAACTGCGTTTACCTAGGACATTTTGGACGGTATGAGTAGTACTCTATTTTTATTTTTATTGTATAATACGAATATAGACCTCCCACAAGGTATGCCTCAAAACACATTCCTGAGTCACCTGCATCCATCATAATGTCCAAAGGATTAAACACTTGTTTCTTTTTCTCTCGTTCCTTTTTACCCAGTGTCTCTCCCGTTTCCTCTCTTACCCTCTCTTCTCTCCCTTTCTCTCTAACTCTTCTCTCACTCTGCTTGTTTTATATATTTCATATAATATTTAAATTAAATATCCCGGTTTTGATAATTTGTTGTTTAGAATTAATAAAGTAAATTTAAAAAAAGTAATAAATTAAAATTACCTTATCCCTGGACCGAAGGAACGCCTCCATATGAAATAACGCATGCGGATCGGTGGTGCCTATCGTCGGTGCTTTCGTTATCGGTATCAAGTAACTTCGGTATCCTTGTAACGTAACTGCCATAAAGCGCAGAAAGGCTTCTTGAATTTTTAATTCCAGTGCTTGCTGTTAAAATGTCACCACTATTTAATATAACGTAAGTTTAATAAGATATACTATAGTTCGGCCGTTCAGAGAATGCGTTCCTGACACGTCGCGATTGAACTGACGACGTAACTTTGTAATGGCGTTGCAGTTACGATAAAAATATTTTTGCTGGTTGTTTACCGTTTTAACAATTGATGTGCATTAAAACAATATTATTATATCAATAATCAATTAATGTTATAATTTTGTGCCAAACTGAGTGTCAAATAACTTGGTAAAGAATATTTTTCTAAATCTATACTGGGTAAAGAATATTTAACTTGGTAAAGAATTTTTTCTAAATCTACAAGGTTATGTCAGCGCTTTATATTTGTAATGCTGTGCTAACAATAACAGGCAATAACAGTATCGTAATCTGTTCTTATACAGTTATACTTTATAAAATAATACGTTTTGTTTTTCTTTTTAAGGATTTGAAAATAATGGACTATAAGATAACTTTTATTAAATATAAAAATAAAACTACGACCAAACCGAACGCGCGAAAGAAAGTAGCATTTTTATATTTAGGTTGAAAATGGTAACCCCAAATGGCGTTATGGGCCGCCATTTTGTGACGCTAAAACAATTCGTCTGTTGTCGTTTCGTGCGCATAGACCACGTTCTTCAAGTGTTTTCGATCTGTTTTTATTTGATTACCCGGCTTTCGTTTAATGGACTGTTTCTGCTTTTCAAACTGACATCGGCGCTAAATCGGACTTCGATTGTGTTTTGTATTGCGTTCTTTTTACTTTTGGTGCATAATTAGCCTAAACGTGGACAAACATTGAAAAGTGAAGCCCGTGAGTTTATCATCAAGCTGCAAGATTACTTTGAGCGGGAGCGGAAAAATGGCGGACCCCTGTTACCTGTCGAACAAGTACAAGAACGCGTCTCTCAGGCGCTTGGAGTTAGCAAACGTACGATAACAAATATTAATAAAGAAAAGTTCAGCTCTACTGGCAAGGAATATAATAATTTAAGTACTCCGAAGAAGAAACGTAGAACTAAACCCGTGACAGATATTGACACCTTTGACGCCGATGCAATCAGAAATCATATATATGGTTTATTGCACCGATGTCAGTTTGAAAAGCAGAAACAGTCCATTAAACGAGAAGCCGGGTAATCAAACTGTAAAACCAGATCGAAAACACTTGAAAGAACGTGGTCTTTGCGCACGAAAAACGACAACAGACGAATTGTTTTAGCGTCAAATGGTGGCCCATAACGACATTTGGGGTTACCATTTTCAACCTAAATATAATTTGAGAGAAGCAAAAAATATTGATAACTGGGATAATGTCGTGTTCATTAACGAGACATGGCAAAACGCCAATCACACGGTTTCCCGTTCTTGGACGGATGATACACAAACGTCGACGTCGAAAGTACCAATGGGTAAGGGGGCCCGTCTGATAATATGCCACGCAGGTTCTGCAAAATACGGCTTTGTGGAGAACGCGTTACTGGCATTTCAATCAAAAACCACAAATGACTACCACGAGGAAATGAATGCCACTACATTTAAAGAGTGGTTTCAGAACGTGCTTTTGCCCAGCCTACCACAGCCTTCTGTAATATTCATGGATAATGCCTCCTATCACTCGGTTCAAATACAGAGACCACCTACCCAAGCTAATAAAAAAGAAGAAATGGTGGCTTGGTTACAAGCAAAAGGCATTGACGCAAATATGCAGATGCTAAAACCCGAGCTAATTAAATTAGTTAAAGAAAATAAAGCGGCAAATGTGCTATACGAAATCGATGAACTGGCTCTGGAGTACGGTCATCGCGTTCTAAGAATTCCACCGTGTCATTGCCAATATACCGCGATTGAGCTAATCAGGGCTCAAATAAAAGGTTACGCCCCCCGCCACAATACTTCCCCGCCATTCAGTACGAAAAAGATGATGACCCTATTAAAAGAAGCCTGCGGGGAAGTCACAAGAGATGACTGGGCAAAGGTTGTTGAGAAGACTAAAAACCTGATTGTGGAACAGGATTGGAGGAGATATCAAGATTGATTCTGTTATTGATAATAATATAATTATACGTGTAGGCGAAGATGATGATGAAGACACCACCTCCTCAAGCGAATCGGAGTCTGATTAATATTCTGTACGCACATTCAATTCAATGTACTTTATTGCACATAGAAATACAGATTGTAACTTTGTAACAAAGAATAAATAAAACAATTTTATTATATTAATATTAAATTTTTTGGTTTCCACTTAAATTACTAAAATACAGGGTGGGCCAGAAAGAATTGCGAATTTAAAAAAAACATTAAAAAAAAATTAAGTACAATTCACATACAAATTTTTATTTCTACAAAAATTTACATCTGGGAAATTCATTTCTTAAAAATAACATCATCCAGATGTGCACCATTGCGCTGCAAACATTCTTCGAATCTGAACCTCAAATTGGTAAAAACTCGCTGGCACATTGCACGGGGAATATCTGCCATTTCTTTCCGGATATTGGTCTTCAACTGGTCAATTGTGGCTGGGTTATTGGAGTAGACTCTACTTTTTAGGTATCCCCACAAAAAAAAGTCCAGTGGTGTAAGATCCGGACTTCTAGGAGGCCATTCAATGTCACCTCGGCGCGATATCAGTTTCTCACCAAACATCTCGTTTACGACCGTCAAAGAGGCATTAGCTGTGTGGCATGTCGCGCCATCTTGTTGAAACCATGTCGCACGATTATATGCTTCAAATTGTTGCATTTGTGGAAAGAAAAAATCCCTTAACATGGCTATGTATCGGTCAGAATTTACAGTGACAGATTGGCCTCGTCGATTTTCGAAGAAGTGGGGTCCGATAATTCCGTGCGCTGACATGGCCGCCCAAATGGTTACTTTCGGCGAATGTAGAGGCTTTTGATGTTTTGCACGTGGGTTCTCTGCAGCCCAGTAACGGCAATTCTGTTTATTCACCTGCCCATTTATGTGAAAATGGGTTTCGTCGAGAACAGAATATTGTTGAAACTCCGAAAGCGTTCCAGCATCGTTTCAACAAAAGCTCTCCTTAAAATTGGATCATTTGGCTGTAATTCCTGCACAAGTTGAATTTTATACGGATGCAATTTCAGATCTTTCAACAAAATGCGACGCAAAGATGTTCTGGACACCACAAGTTCGGCTGAACGCTTTCGAGTCGATAGAACAGGATTACGTTGAACTGAAGCTCTAACTTGTTCAATTGTGTCTTTCGTTCTTGTTGACCTTGGGCGTCCCGCAGGCTTCTGTTTGAGAGTCGAACCAGTAGCTTCGAACTTTCTGACCCACGATCGAATCACGCTTTCCTTCGGACACTGATTTAGGTCATGTAATCCAAACTCACGTCGAAATAAACGCCGAACAATAGCGCACGAATCGTGATTTTTATAATAATGTTTAACGCAGAAAGCACGTTGCGCTCCCGTGAAGTGATCCATCGCGACTAAATTTCCGACAACCGAGCTACTTAACCCCACCACCCGCGCAGTCCCCTCTCTAAAGCTTCAAACGCAAGAGTGTTTTTAAAATCGTTCTCCTTTCTGGCCCACCCGTTATAAATTTTAAATGATTCCGCCAATTGAAAACGAAAATAATCTTAAAAATAACGCGGCGGTTCATTTTGGAGGAACGGTAACGAACTCAGTGTTATGTTGTGCCCATCACTAGTCGTGACTAACTGATAGGTGTCAGGAACGCATTCTCTGAACGGCCGAACTATAATGTTTGTATAATTTATTGCAGTGACAAAGATTTTAAATCAATAATAAGTCTGGAGTCTAGATTAAATGTTCTTTTCTTGATCAAAACGTAATTAGTCCAGGGCTGGACACAAGTTTTACCACAAAATTGGGCGTATTAAGAGCGCAGTAACAGGTGTCTTACACTTTTAACACAACAGCCTCGTCGCAGGTCTGGATATTTTACGTCCGAAGTATTTGAGATTGTTGTTTTCGAAGAAGTTATTTTAGTATTTTCAGTCACCTCATGCGTAACTAACGATAATATTATGTGGTGATGGATTTTATTACGCCTCTGCCTAAAGCAAATACATTTTAGAATGCTAAAATTACCAATTAGTTTATGCGATAAATACCTCTTTTTTTCTTCTTTGGAAATCCCTGTCAAGACTTGTGGTCGGTTCGCCATTATACTTATTACTCGAATAGTGAACGGGTGACGCTGAAGAAAAGTAAAATAAATTAACGTTAGAAGTGGTAAGTGTTCATTATTTTTTTTATTAAAGTAGTATACTAGTACCAAACATACCAGGTCGAATGTTAACGTAAAGTTGCTCCAGTGTTTGCCGCAGCGCCCTTGCTTGTCGCTTGGGTAAAAGCTTTAGTGATATGTGACGTTGGGACTCGCATATCTAAAATAAATCACTAATATTAATTCTTAAGTTACTTTCAAGTATTTCGTGGGATTTTTAACTAAAACTAAGTGACGTCTTATTTATTTTAAATTGTCTGACAAGGCCATTCCCTTATTATTCTTGGCTCAGTGTAAACATCATGGTTTACCAGTGCATCTTCAACAATACATAAAAAGATTACATTAGTCATACTTGCTTTTTTAATTCTCAAGCATGCATTTTTACGATATTATGTCTACATTCTTTGTATTATTGTGACAATGCCGAGATTTGAACTTTGCTTGCCTCGCTCATGAATGTTATAAGGCTTTTAAAAGTCACTTACCGTAATATTATTCGTATCTAAGTCAACACAAGTAACATCCCCCGGAGGTTCATAAAGATCGAAAAACCTAGAATCAACTCCAATGAGGTAAGGTAACGGTGCGTGTAATACCTCCGCGAGACCTGCAAAATATAAGATTTGCAATTAATCAGTAACTAATTATTTTAATTGAGCAAAAATCAATGTTAATATTACCTAATGGACAAAGTGGAATATAAGGACACTGCCACTTGAAGGGAAACAGAAGACTTGAAACTGCTTCTGATACAGCTGTTAATGTATCTGGCCTGAAAAATATTTTTCTTTAAAAAAGACAGCATAAGTAAGGTAAAGGCAATGGTTAAATAACTATATATAGAGTATTTTTTGAGATAATATTTAAACGAATAATGAGTTCCTTTTATTTTCTAAAGGAATATTGCTAGATCCGACTGCAAATAGTAATGCAAAAAAAACAATAGAATTTAGGCTGACCTCCAAAAGAGCATGGAAGGATACACGTTTACAAGGAGGTAAGAATCCTTTTCTGACTAGAAGTCCGTCTTATGGTTAACCGAGCAAACTGGGGCGAGCAGCAGCAGCAGTCAGTTGCCGGGGCCGAGATTAAGCAGAAGCTGGCGGAAGTGAATGTAGTGCGGTTGCACCTGAGCGAGTGTATGAGGATCATCTGCTCGATGAGGGCGAGCGCGAGCAGCAGCAGGCAGTTGTCCAGCCGAGGTTGAGCAGCAGCGGCGGAAGTGAGTGTAGTGCGGTTGCACCTGAGCGAGTGTATGAGGATCATCTGCTCGATGAGGGCGAGCGCGAGCAGCAGCAGGCAGTTGTCCAGCCGAGGTTGAGCAGCAGCGGCGGAAGTGAGTGTAGTGCGGTTGCACCTGAGCGAGTGTATGAGGATCATCTGCTCGATGAGGGCGAGCGCGAGCAGCAGCAGGCAGTTGTCCAGCCGAGGTTGAGCAGCAGCGGCGGAAGTGAGTGTAGTGCGGTTGCACCTGAGCGAGTGTATGAGGATCATCTGCTCGATGAGGGCGAGCGCGAGCAGCAGCAGGCAGTTGTCCAGCCGAGGTTGAGCAGCAGCGGCGGAAGTGAGTGTAGTGCGGTTGCACCTGAGCGAGTGTATGAGGATCATCTGCTCGATGAGGGCGAGCGCGAGCAGCAGCAGGCAGTTGTCCAGCCGAGGTTGAGCAGCAGCGGCGGAAGTGAGTGTAGTGCGGTTGCACCTGAGCGAGTGTATGAGGATCATCTGCTCGATGAGGGCGAGCGCGAGCAGCAGCAGGCAGTTGTCCAGCCGAGGTTGAGCAGCAGCGGCGGAAGTGAGTGTAGTGCGGTTGCACCTGAGCGAGTGTATGAGGATCATCTGCTCGATGAGGGCGAGCGCGAGCAGCAGCAGGCAGTTGTCCAGCCGAGGTTGAGCAGCAGCGGCGGCAAGTGAGTGTAGTGCGGTTGCACCTGAGCGAGTGTATGAGGATCATCTGCTCGATGAGGGCGAGCGCGAGCAGCAGCAGGCAGTTGTCCAGCCGAGGTTGAGCAGCAGCGGCGGAAGTGAGTGTAGTGCGGTTGCACCTGAGCGAGTGTATGAGGATCATCTGCTCGATGAGGGCGAGCGCGAGCAGCAGCAGGCAGTTGTCCAGCCGAGGTTGAGCAGCAGCGGCGGAAGTGAGTGTAGTGCGGTTGCACCTGAGCGAGTGTATGAGGATCATCTGCTCGGTGAGGGCGAGCGCGAGCAGCAGCAGGCAGTTGTCCAGCCGAGGTTGAGCAGCAGCGGCGGAAGTGAGTGTAAAGTGCGGTTGCACCTGAGCGAGTGTATGAGGATCATCTGCTCGGTGAGGGCGAGCGCGAGCAGCAGCAGGCAGTTGTCCAGCCGAGGTTGAGCAGCAGCGGCGGAAGTGAGTGTAGTGCGGTTGCACCTGAGCGAGTGTATGAGGATCATCTGCTCGGTGAGGGCGAGCGCGAGCAGTAGCAGGCAGTTGTCCGGCCGAGGTTGAGCAGCAGCTGGCGGAAGTGAGTGTAGTGCGGTTGCACCTGAGCGAGTGTATGAGGATCATCTGCTCGATGAGGGCGAGCGCGAGCAGCAGCAGGCAGTTGTCCGGCCGAGGTTGAGCAGCAGCGGCGAAAGTGAGTGTAGTGCGGTTGCACCTGAGCGAGTGTATGAGGATCATCTGCTCGGTGAGGGCGAGCGCGAGCAGCAGCAGGCAGTTGTCCAGCCGAGGTTGAGCAGCAGCGGCGGAAGTGAGTGTAGTGCGGTTGCACCTGAGCGAGTGTATGAGGATCATCTGCTCGGTGAGGGCGAGCGCGAGCAGCAGCAGGCAGTTGTCCGGCCGAGGTTGAGCAGCAGCGGCGGAAGTGAGTGTAGTGCGGTTGCACCTGAGCGAGTGTATGAGGATCATCTGCTCGGTGAGGGCGAGCGCGAGCAGCAGCAGGCAGTTGTCCGGCCGAGGTTGAGCAGCAGCGGCGGAAGTGAGTGTAGTGCGGTTGCACCTGAGCGAGTGTATGAGGATCATCTGCTCGGTGAGGGCGAGCGCGAGCAGCAGCAGGCAGTTGTCCGGCCGAGGTTGAGCAGCAGCGGCGGAAGTGAGTGTAGTGCGGTTGCACCTGAGCGAGTGTATGAGGATCATCTGCTCGGTGAGGGCGAGCGCGAGCAGCAGCAGGCAGTTGTCCGCCCGAGGTTGAGCAGCAGCGGCGGAAGTGAGTGTAGTGCGGTTGCACCTGAGCGAGTGTATGAGGATCATCTGCTCGGTGAGGGCGAGCGCGAGCAGCAGCAGGCAGTTGTCCGGCCGAGGTTGAGCAGCAGCGGCGGAAGTGAGTGTAGTGCGGTTGCACCTGAGCGAGTGTATGAGGATCATCTGCTCGGTGAGGGCGAGCGCGAGCAGCAGCAGGCAGTTGTCCGGCCGAGGTTGAGCAGCAGCGGCGGAAGTGAGTGTAGTGCGGTTGCACCTGAGCGAGTGTATGAGGATCATCTGCTCGGTGAGGGCGAGCGCGAGCAGCAGCAGGCAGTTGTCCGGCCGAGGTTGAGCAGCAGCGGCGGAAGTGAGTGTAGTGCGGTTGCACCTGAGCGAGTGTGTGAGGATCATCTGCTCGGTGAGGGCGAGCGCGAGCAGCAGCAGGCAGTTGTCCAGCCGAGGTTGAGCAGCAGCGGCGGAAGTGAATGTAGTGCGGTTGCACCTGAGCGAGTGTATGAGGATCATCTGCTCGGTGAGGGCGAGCGCGAGCAGCAGCAGGCAGTTGTCCGGCCGAGGTTGAGCAGCAGCGGCGGAAGTGAGTGTAGTGCGGTTGCACCTGAGCGAGATGTATGAGGATCATCTGCTCGGTGAGGGCGAGCGCGAGCAGCAGCAGGCAGTTGTCCGGCCGAGGTTGAGCAGCAGCGGCGGAAGTGAATGTAGTGCGGTTGCACCTGAGCGAGTGTATGAGGATCATCTGCTCGGTGAGGGCGAGCGCGAGCAGCAGCAGGCAGTTGTCCAGCCGAGGTTGAGCAGCAGCGGCGGAAGTGAGTGTAGTGCGGTTGCACCTGAGCGAATGTATGAGGATCATCTGCTCGGTGAGGGCGAGCGCGAGCAGCAGCAGGCAGTTGTCCAGCCGAGGTTGAGCAGCAGCGGCGGAAGTGAGTGTAGTGCGGTTGCACCTGAGCGAGTGTATGAGGATCATCTGCTCGGTGAGGGCGAGCGCGAGCAGCAGCAGGCAGTTGTCCGGCCGAGGTTGAGCAGCAGCGGCGGAAGTGAGTGTAGTGCGGTTGCACCTGAGCGAGTGTATGAGGATCATCTGCTCGGTGAGGGCGAGCGCGAGCAGCAGCAGGCAGTTGTCCAGCCGAGGTTGAGCAGCAGCGGCGGAAGTGAATGTAGTGCGGTTGCACCTGAGCGAGTGTATGAGGATCATCTGCTCGGTGAGGGCGAGCGCGAGCAGCAGCAGGCAGTTGTCCGGCCGAGGTTGAGCAGCAGCGGCGGAAGTGAGTGTAGTGCGGTTGCACCTGAGCGAATGTATGAGGATCATCTGCTCGGTGAGGGCGAGCGCGAGCAGCAGCAGGCAGTTGTCCAGCCGAGGTTGAGCAGCAGCGGCGGAAGTGAGTGTAGTGCGGTTGCACCTGAGCGAGTGTATGAGGATCATCTGCTCGGTGAGGGCGAGCGCGAGCAGCAGCAGGCAGTTGTCCGGCCGAGGTTGAGCAGCAGCGGCGGAAGTGAGTGTAGTGCGGTTGCACCTGAGCGAGTGTATGAGGATCATCTGCTCGGTGAGGGCGAGCGCGAGCAGCAGCAGGCAGTTGTCCGGCCGAGGTTGAGCAGCAGCGGCGGAAGTGAGTGTAGTGCGGTTGCACCTGAGCGAATGTATGAGGATCATCTGCTCGGTGAGGGCGAGCGCGAGCAGCAGCAGGCAGTTGTCCAGCCGAGGTTAAGCAGCAGCGGCGGAAGTGAGTGTAGTGCGGTTGCACCTGAGCGAGTGTAAGAGGATCATCTGCTCGGTGAGGGCGAGCGCGAGCAGCAGCAGGCAGTTGTCCAGCCGAGATTGAGCAGCAGCGGCGGAAGTGAGTGTAGTGCGGTTGCACCTGAGCGAGTGTATGAGGATCATCTGCTCGGTGAGGGCGAGCGCGAGCAGCAGCAGGCAGTTGTCCGGCCGAGGTTGAGCAGCAGCGGCGGAAGTGAGTGTAGTGCGGTTGCACCTGAGCGAGTGTATGAGGATCATCTGCGCGGTGAGGGCGAGCGCGAGCAGCAGCAGGCAGTTGTCCGGTCGAGGTTGAGCAGCAGCTGGCGGAAGTGAGTGTAGTGCGGTTGCACCTGAGCGAATGTATGAGGATCATCTGCTCGGTGAGGGCGAGCGCGAGCAGCAGCAGGCAGTTGTCCAGCCGAGGTTGAGCAGCAGCTGGCGGAATTGAGTGTAGTGCGGTTGCACCTGAGCGAGTGTATGAGGATCGTCTGCTCGATGAGGGCGAGCGCGAGCAGCAGCAGGCAGTTGTCGGGCCGAGGTTGAGCAGCAGCTAGCGGAAGTGAGTGTAGTGCGGTTGCACCTGAGCGAGTGTATGAGGATCATCTGCTCGATGAGGGCGAGCGCGAGCAGCAGCAGGCAGTTGTCGGGCCGAGGTTGAGCAGCAGCTGGCGGAAGTGAGTGTAGTGCGGTTGCACCTGAGCGAGTGTATGAGGATCATCTGCTCGATGAGGGCGAGCGCGAGCAGCAGCAGGCAGTTGTCGGGCCGAGGTTAAGCAGCAGCTGGCGGAAGTGAGTGTAGTGCAGTTACACCTGAGCGAGTGTATGAGGATCTTCTGCTCGGTGAGGGCGAGCGTGAGCAGCAGCAGGCAGTTGTCGGGGCCGAGGTTGAGCAACAGCTGACGGAAGTGAGTGTAGTGCAGTTTCACCTGAGCGAGTGTATGAGGATCTTCTGCTCGGTGAGAGCAAGCGCGAGCAGCAGCAGGCAGTTGTCGGGGCCGAGGTTTAGCAGCAGCTGACGGAAGCCGGCGCCGCTGCGCACCAGCGGCTGCTCGTCGCGCCGCGTCACTATCACGCGCTCGTGCGGGTTCGTCGCCGACAACTGCCGCAGACAACAGATAACCACTGCTACATCACTCTTTAACGAACACTTACAGCAATTTTTTTCTTTAAAGAATTAAAGAGATAATATAGCTGCAGCATGGCCCTACCACGTCATAAATGTCGTAAACTATTGATATTTCTTCGGAAACGCTTAGATATGAAATTAAAAAAATTTAAAAAGGTACAAACAGCACAAAAAAGAACTTATAAAAAGAGGGGAAGTTGTTTCAAGTGATAAAAGGCCTAGGAAGGCTTACCTTGCTTCAAAATAACAAAAGTGCTGTAAAGGTGCCTAGTTTACAAGATATGCTACAGCATCTCATCGAAAGAGTGATTAGGTAAAAACCAAATAAAAAAAAGAAATGAAAGCGTGATACACAACCGAATACATTTGCCCTAAAAGGCAATGACCAAAAGTGGTTCAAATGTCCACCACTAACCAGACCAAAGTTAGCGAATAGTCCACTAAATAGACTGTTGGACTGGTGGACAGGTGGTCACGTTGACTTCTACTCATATTGTTGTACCACTATCCATGTTCGTTAGACCAGGTCAGAATGTAATTTTAGTGTAATTAATGGTGCCTCGGAACAAAGCAGTTAATTTTCATATGAATTTCAAGTAATTCAAGTTATTTATTAGGTCATTATGTCAATAAAAAGTAATGACCAAATGAAAAATTTTATGTTTTGTCTCTTTAACACTTAGAAATCAATGCGATAGACCATTGTGTGCGCCGACACGGATTTTCACCAGACTACCTGACTCAGCAACACCACTTGTTTTACGCAGTCGTCCGTTTGCTTGCTTTCGTTGCGTACTGTGCGTTTTCTTATGTTTATTTCATTGCGAGTTTGGTTTAGGTAGATGTCACATGTCTTTTACACATCTAGTACTAACTACTTCTAAGAAACCGATAAGTTACAAAACTTGTTTATTTCATTTAGTCATAATTTTTTACTGACAGCATATTTTTGGCTGAGGTCTGGTGTTTTCAATATTAATTGAACTATTTTGTTAAATATGTCTTGTTAGTGGTGGAAATTTAGAACAAGCCCCATATAATTTTAGTCATTCTCTTTTACACTTTTATAGCCCTAGTTTCTAAATTACATAAGTACAAAATTTGACCTGTGCCTATCACATCGTGAAACACTACGAGGATGGTACCAAAATGAAGGCTATAAACCAGGCATCACTAAGGAAGCCGTAAAAATCATTAAAGCTGTAAGTAAAGAAAAAGCGGATTTAGTCATCGCCTTTACGTTCAACGAAATGTCTATGAGTGAACATATTGGGTTCGACGGACGTAATCATCACGACTATGTTGATGTAAAAATAAAAATAAAATAAGCCTTTATTGCTGTGTAACTTTTAACATATAGCCGTGTAGTGGTGTTTGAGAATATCCACTACCCCATATCTTCCCGTGGGTGTCGTAAGAGGCGACAGAGGGAGACAGCCAGGAGATGGGCAGCAGCATCTTCCTGATAACAACTGTGATAAAATAAAAAACTGCGGTTGCCAACCCGCTCGCCAAGCGTGGCAACTATGGCAAATATCCCCCATGAATAATGACGCAAAAAAACGGCCCCCAGTCCCCGGCGGCCACGCTATTCCTGGCTACGGTGGCGACCATGGTAACGGCGGGGCAGTGGGTGCTAAGAATCTCCGGTGGAGGTTCGGTTGCCACCTACGAAGACTCGACCTGGCAACATATAACGCACGCACCCTGAGGACTGACGAGAAGATACTGGAGCTGGAAGAAGAGGTAGACAAGTTGCGCTGGCATATTATTGGATTATCCGAGGTCCGAAGAGAGGGGAAGGACACGGCAATCCTCGAGTCCGGCAACTTGTTCTACCACCGGGAGGGCGACCATCTGTCCCAAGGAGGTGTCGGATTTATCGTCCACAAGTCTCTCGTCAACAACGTTGTAAAGATTGGGAGTGTGTCGACGAGGGTCGCGTACCTGATACTCAGAATCACCAAACGGTATTCGCTGAAAGTCATACAGGTTTACGCACCAACCTCGGCACATCCCGATGAGGAGGTGGAGGAAATGTATGAGGATATTTCCAGAGCCATGCATTCCTCCAACACCCCCTACACGGTGTTGATGGGAGACTTCAACGCAAAACTAGGCACAAGAGAAAGCGGTGAGCTGAAGGTAGGAAAATTTGGAGTAGGGCAACGGAACCGAAGGGGCCAGCAGCTGGCCGACTTTATGGAGAAAGAGGGACTCTTTATGATGAACTCTTTCTTCCAGAAGCGGCCCCACAGGAAGTGGACCTGGTCGAGCCCCGACGGTTCGGCAAAAAATGAGATTGACTTCATTATGACGACCAGACGCCAACTGTTCAGTTATGTCTCAGTGATCGCAAGGGTGAAAACTGGCAGCGATCACCGAATGGTTAGAGGCACACTGAACCTAAACGTTAAGTTGGAGAGGTCTCGTCTGATGAAGTCAACGCTCCGTCCCCCCTCGTGCTCTGATCCAGAATCCCGAAACCTTTCAGCTCGAGTTACAAAATCGCTTTCAGTGCCTAGAGAATTGCAATGCAGTGGACGATATGAATGACAAGCTCGTGGAAACTGTCCATGCGGTCGGAGCTAAGTTCTGCAAGACCCGCCGCAGAAGAACAAAAAAACTCTCCGATCACGCTCTTAATCTCATGGCTGTTAGACGGGAGATGAGGCTGCAATCGTCAACAGATTTGACAGCATACAGGCAACTGAACAGACAGGTCTCCAAATGCATGCGGCGAGATTTTACGCAACTTTAATACTGCTCGTATTAAAGAAGCGATCGAGCGGAACCAGGGCTCCAAAGTCTTTGCCAGAGATCTGTCTGCCAGAAAGAGCCAACTTTCAAAGCTGAAGACTGAGTGTGGCAACATCGTTTCCGGGACACCTGAGATTCTGAGTGAGATTGAGAGGTTCTTATGGGCAGCTGTACACATCATCGTTGGAGCCACACGCAAGTGTGAGTAACGATCCAAGAGCAAGTCTTATCCGACACTATTCCGATGATATCCCGAACGTCAGTCTGAGCGAGATTAGAATGGCTCTCCACCACCTTAAAAACGGCAAGGCCCCGGGCGAGGATGGAATTACAGCGGAGCTTCTGAAAGCGGGTGGAACACGGTACTTGAAGTCCTTCAGAAGCTCTTAAATTCCGTCCTCCATGGTGGCACTACTCCGGAGGCGTGGAGCAGAAGTGCGGTGGTCTTGTTCTTTAAGAAAGGCGACAACGCTCTCTTGAAGAACTACAGACCGATTTCCCTTCTGAGCCGCGTCTACGTGCTGTTTTCGAGAGTCATTACGAATCGTCTCGCACGCAGATTCGACGAGTTCCAGCCTCCCGAACAAGCCGGTTTCCGAAAAGGCTTCAGTACCATAGACCACATACATACCCTGCGGCAGATTGTACAGAAGACCGAAGAGTACAATCTGCCACTTTGCCTGGCATATGTAGACTATGAGAAAGCCTTTGATTCCGTCGAAATTTGGGCGGTGCTACAGTCCCTTCAGCGGTGCCAAGTTGATTGTCGGTATATCGAAGTGCTGAAGTGTTTGTACAGTAGGGCTACGATGGCTATCCGAGTACAGAACCGGAGTTCGAAACCTATCCAACTGCAGAGAGGTGTAAGACAGGGTGATGTTATATCCCCGAAACTTTTCACCGCTGCGTTGGAAGACGTTTTCAAGCTACTGGACTGGAAAGGATACGGTATTAACATCAATGGCCTTCACATAGTACATCACTCACCTTCGATTTGCCGACGATATATATATATATATATATATATATATATATATATATATATATATATATAGTCCTTATGGCAGAATCGCTGGAGGACCTTAGCACTATGCTCAATGACCTCAATGGTGTCTCCCAACGGATAGGTCTTAAGATGAACATGGACAAAACAAAGATCATGTTTTATGTCCATGTCACACCTATGCCGGTAGTTGTTGGGAGCACTATGCTCGAAGTTGTTGAGGAGTATGTTTACCTGGGACAAATAGTCTGACTAGGTAAGTCCAACTTCGACCGAGAGGGTAATCGACGGATTCAACTCGGCTGGGCAGCGTTCGGGAAATTACGACACATCTTTTCGTCAGGTATACCTCAATCTCTGAAAAATAAACTTTATAACTAGTGCGTGTTGCCAGTGATGACTTAGGGATCTGAGACGTGGTCCTTCACTGCTGGCCGTATGAGGACGCTCAAGGTCGCTCAGCGAGCTATGGAGAGGGCTATGCTCGGAGTTTCACTGCGTGATAGACTCAGAAATGAGGATATCCGCAGTAAAACCAGAGTTACCGACGTAGCCCAACGGATTAGTAAGCTGAAGTGGCAATGGGCCGGCCATATAGCTCGAAGAACCGATAACCGTGGGGAAGAAAGGTTCTCGAGTGGCAGCCTCGTACCGGTAGGCGTAGTGTTAGGGCGACCCCCCACTAGATGGAGTGACGACCTGGTAAGACATGCAGGAAGTCGATGGATGCAGGTGGCTCAGGACCGTGCTTTGTGGCATTACTTGGGGGAGGCCTATGTTCAGCAGTGGACTTGTGAAGGGCTGTAATGATGATGATGATGATGATGAACTTTTAACATGCATAGTATAACATGTTTATTAGAACTATATGTAACTTAATTGTGAATGACGATTTTGACTTTAACTATTTTTTGGCAACCAGTTTTTCTTTTACAGCTTGTCCTTCGACAAAGACCTCTTCGAAAGCTTTCCATTTTGTCCTCTTTTACAAGGCGTGTCCATAATGGACCAGTAATCTTTTTCATTTAGTTTATCTACCTTTGTTCCTTTTACTATCTCGCGGATACCATTTCGTTACCAGTCCTGTGCACTTTTCTGTTTCTTCTCCTAGCATGTGTCCTGTCCATCTCCATTTCAGGTGTTTGTAGACAGTACATATGTATGTTTTAAACTTAGTTTTATTCTTTATATTTTGTAATCTTATCTTGTCTCTTCTTTTAACTCCAATTACACTTCTTTCCATTCTGACATACTTGAATTTTTCGAGTTGTTGTTCTCTTAGGACCCGTGTTTGACATCCGTACAACAGACATGGGGTAGCTTGTATTATTATATTTTCCTTTTTTCTTTGACGGGCATGTCTTTGTCCTTCATGAACTCGCTCAGGGACCAAAACCGTTTCCAACGGCTTGCTATCCTTCTATCTGGTTCTTTTTGCATTGTGTCTTCTGTAGATATTAGTTGACCTAAATATATGTACTTCGACTTGTATTTGTCCACCACTTAATTTAATGTCCTTATTGGTTGAGTTTGTCATTACCTTCGTTTACGATGTGTTCATTGATAGGCCTGCCTTGGCGCTTTCATCTGACAGTTGTTGTAAGAAAACAGAATAATATCATCTGCAAAACGTAGATGGTTAAGTTTCTCTACTTAAGCCTCCTCCTTAGATTGTTTCAGAGTTTTCCATAGCTGCTCCGCTTGGCAGGCGAGTTGGCCGAGTTTTTATTGCTTTATTTTTGTTTTTTTATAGGATAGGATGACGAACTAGCACACAGTCCACCTGACGGTAAGTGGTTGCTGCGGCTCATAGACATCTACATCTATCCTCGATTAAAAATCAATTTGCAGATGCGTTGTCACCCGTGAGTACTAAGATGGAATGCCTCGTTTCCAGTAAAAATGGTCTTTAAGTTGTTATTAAAAAAATTCAGCTACCCATCTCATGTTTCAGTTTCCCTCTGTCTCCACTAATGATACAGTACTTTGATTCTTTAAAGCAATACAATGATATGGTTTTTTAAAAAAGATACAAGGGCCTTAATGATTAGATAAGAACATTCATGTTGAGTCCATTTCTTTCCCTTTCCAGGTTCCTAAAGATCATTTCTAGAACCGCAGAGAATTTCGGTGAAATGGGGGTCAACTTGTCCGACACCTCTTTCGATAGGAAATTCTTCTCCTGTTTTTTCTAGCTTGACTTGGGCCGTACGCTTTGAATAGATGTTCTTGAGTATTAGAATGTATTTGATCTCAACTCTCTGACATTCTATTGCTCTCTAGATGCTATCGTGATCTAAGGAATCAAAAGCTTTATTGAAATCCACGAACACTAAGTAGTAGACTTTGTTGTATTCCTTATACTTTTGAAGCATCTGTCTTAATACGTGAATGTGTTCTATTGTCGAAAACTTACTTCGGAAGCCACCTCCATCAAGCGTGGTAGCAATTCGTGATAGTATTATCTTTGCAAATATCTTATACCTAGGTGGATTGAAAAGTACTCGGCCTAACACAGATCCATTCAATTCTAAAAATCAAATCTACCCACATTATTTAGTTCAGTTCAGACTAGTTCATTGTGTGAAGTTCGAAACGTGTGCGATAATTAGTTGTGATTTTATAAATTTATTAACAAAGTAATCGGACATAATTTCCGCGAATGGAGCAAATCGAGCAGCGTGCCGTCATTAAGTACCTCCATAAGAAGGGGCTATCATCAAAAGCCATCCATGATGACATGGTCAGTACATTAGGCGATTGTGCTCTGTCATATTCATCCGTCAAAAAATGGATAGCAGAATTTAAGCGTGGTAGAGAGAGTGTGAAAGATGAACCCCACTCTGGAAGGCCTTCGACGTCAACTACTGACGAAAATATTAAAAAAGTACTTGATTTAATAATGGGAGACCGCAGATTAAAAATTAGAGAGATAGCCGATATTATAGGCATCTCTTATGAATGAACTCAAAACATCATTGTCAACGAGTTGGGTTTCCACAAGGTGTCTGCGAGGTGGGTTCCGCGACTGCTTTCAGTTGAACAAAAAAGGACGCGATTGACTATTTCACGCGACTGTTTGGAGTTATTTGAAGCCGATGCAGATGATTTTTTGAATCGTTTTGTTACTATGGACGAAACATGGGTTCATTACTGTACACCGGAAACAAAACAACAATCAAAACAGTGGAGAAGACCTGGTTCACCACCCCTTAAAAAGCCTAAGTCGATTTTGTCGGCCAATAAGGTGATGGCTTCAGTATTCTGGGACTCGAAAGGTGTGATTATGATTGATTATCTTGAAAGGGGTCAGACTATAAACTCTGATTACTACTGCACCTTACTACGTCGTTTACGAGAGGAAATAAAAGAAAAACGTCGAGGAATGCTCAGAAGAAAAGTCCTGTTTCATCAAGATAACGCCCGTGTTCACACGTCAGTACAGTCAATGGCTGAAATTCACAACTGTGGCTTTGAACTGTTACCGCATCCGCCGTATTCACCTGATCTGGCACCATCAGACTTCTTTCTGTTCTCTAACCTAAAAAAGCACTTGGGAGGTCAAAGATTTTCGACAAACGACGAGGTCAAAGCAGCTGTAGACGCATATTTTGACTCTAAGGAAGAATCATTTTTTTTTCAACGGTCTAAATGCTTGGAAGGGGAGGTGGCAAAAGTGTATTGAACTTGATGGTGATTATGTAGAAAAATAAAAATATAACTGATTTAATATGTGTTTATTTTCTTGGTTAGGCCGAGTACTTTTCAATCCACCCTCGTATATTTGACATTAGACTTATTGGTCTGTACTTGTTCATATGTCTTTTGTCCCCTTTTTTGTGTATTAATACTTTGTCTAATCGTTAGGAATATATTCGGTTGATAAGATTTCGTTGAATAGTTCTGTTAGTATAGGAGCATTTACCGGTATTGTACATTTTAATATTTCATTAATTGTTTGATCTGAACCCGGCGTTTTGTGCAGTTTCTGTGTGTTGATGGCTCTTATAGTTTCTTCCTGTAGTATTATTGGTACTGATTCTGTCTGTCTGTCGACTCGCCCAAATCACTCTATCGCCAATCTAGTATATACTAAAACAATGATACTACTCGGTTCCGGCGATTCAGAACAACAATTGTGTAACAACTGTGGGCAGGTATCTGGCACGTAAAATATACCACGCAGAAGTATTTTCATTTACTACAGTTTCTATTTTAGGCAAATACGAATTAAAGTTAATTACTTATCTGAAATAAACTTCTAATCACGTTAACAAAGTGCGCACATAAAGAACATTTGTGTTTTACATATAAAGAACTAGTCTCCGCGCCCGTTCTCTTACTAGGCAGGTACTCCATCTAGTGGGGGACCGCCAAGTTCAAGTATATCATTGTTTACGAGGGGTGATCCAAAAGTAATGATAATCGGTTACTTCAGATCCGCATAAAAATCCAAAAAAAAAATTTTTTTTTTTGCTTGCTTATATACTCACTACGTTAGCCTAAAAAAATCGTATAAATAGATCACGATTTCCGGGAGATACATTCATTTGAATACGAACTGTCAAAGAGATAACATCAACATGGAGAAAAACGAAATTAGAGCTGTCATCAAGTACCACTGTTTGAAAAAAATTTCTTCAAGACATACACAGTGACTTAGTAGAAACACTGGGGGACACTGCTCCTCCATATTCTACAGTTGCACGCTGGGCCAAGGAGTTTAAACTGGGCAGAACATCCACTGAAGATGAACATCGCGAAGGACGCCCATCCACGTCCCTCATTGAAGACAACGTGAAAAAAGTCGAAGATGTTGTGATGGCAGATCGAAGAGTGACCATCAGGCATGTAACTGAGGTCACAGGGATCTCATATAGCAGCGTTCAAAGAATCCTTGCGAATGAGTTGCATATGAAAAAGGTCTCTGCGCGTTGGGTACCCAGAATGTTAACCGACGAGCAAAAAAAAATCGAGTTGACATTTCGAGGGTCAATCTCGAAAAGTTCCAAGCAGATCAAGAAAATTTTTTGTTCCGTTTTGTGACTATGGACGAGACCTGGATCCACCATTTTGATCCTTAAACGAAACAACAATCGATGACTTGGAAGCGAGCCCCCTCACCGACGCCAAAGAAATTCAAAGTTTCAAGTTCGGCGGGAAAGGTTATGGCATGTTTTTTGGGACGCTCAAGGCATAATTATGATGGAATATTTGAAAAAGGGAGCCACAATTACGGGCTCTTACTACGCAGACCAAATAAGAAGATTACGGGAGGCCATTAATAAGGAAAAAAGAGGAGGGAGGGTCAAGACAAAGAATTTTTTTCAAAGGGAATCCTAGGTTTAGAAAAAAGATGGACTAAATGTATTGATACTATGTAGAAAAATAAATTATTATTTTAACTTTAATTACCGTATTTTATTTTCGTTATCATTACTTTTGGATCACCCCTCGTATTTCAATAATGTTAGTCTGCTGTTATACAGTCAATTTAATAATGAGTTATAAAGTCAATGGGACTTTATGGGGCAATGGTTAGAGTAGTTTACCTGTAACAGTATCCGTGGTTCGGGAAACGGCACTTCTTCTAACAAATGTGTTATATACCGCTCTACTGGAATATTTAACGGCTCTTTACTCCATGACATTTCCTGTAAAAAAAAAGGGTATATAATTAATGATTTCTTATGCGAATGCGAATACTACACATTTAAATGATACTATGTTTATAGATTTTATACTATTAGTATTTTAACTGATTTTAAATTCTCGACGTTTTGAGTTTCTTATACACCCACGGTCACGTGGGGGGGGGGGGTCTGAGGTGTTCGACGTCATAATTTCATAATTAACCACGGCTAACTTTAGTTTAAAATGATTAATTTGTGGTCCGATCTCCGTAGAACACGCTTATGTTAAACAAGATACCATAATCTGACTTTGCGTATATCTTAGTTTCTTTTAAATATATAATTACTTTGAAAATATATGGTAAACCATGAAATTGAATTTACGTTTCGTGGTATTATTTCAATGCCATTGCCATTCCTTATATTTTGCTGAAAAATAGCAATATCGTCAGTGCTTTTCAAACTGTTTCCCATCGGTTGAAAAACTTTTGCTACTTCTATATATTATATCCTATGATCGCTTTTATTGCTCTTCGGAAGGAATTTTGTAGCTTTTGATTTGTTTTAAGTTACGAATATCATTGGTATACAATGCGATTCAAATCAGAATAGGAACGTTAATGTGCTCGAATGACCGCGATCTGTCAACTGTCAAACTGCAGAAAGTCTGCGGGAAGTCTGCCGTTTGTGATCATATCCTAGACGGCCCCAACCATTACATCAGATTTGATAGACCACAAATCCTCGCGAAAGAACACCGATTCCTACCAAGGATGATACGTGAGGCTATTGAAATAAAAAAACATCCTAATTTCAATAGAGAAGGAGGCTGGGTACTACCACCTACTTGGGATCTTATAATCAATAAAATTAAAACTAAACCCAAGCATACCACTGCAAGACCTCAGGACATAGTCAGTTCATTTTGCATAGATCGGACCATAAACAATAATTAAAAAAGCTGAAGGTACTCCGGGTTTAACAATGACATCGGGATGTCAGTCATCTCAGTCCCCCGTGACCATGGGTGCTGGAAAGCGCCCGAAACGTCGGGAATTAAAAATAAAAAAGTAAAAAATAAACGCGATAAAATCCGCAAAAGTAGTTTTAATCAGATTGTTTTGTAGTTTGTGATGAGTACAATGCGAATTTCACTATGCAAGTAAGACCCACCAAAATTGATCGCTCAAATCTCATACCGACTCTTCTAGTAGTAAAGTTTATACTAACTAATATATACAACAGCCAGCGCTCGAAGGTATCGCTAAAAGGCCACCGGGAGAGCAGGCAAATACACTTGATAGCGTGTGTTGAATGTGTGGTGTGTGTGACTCCTTCACGCCAACCGAGTTGTTCCTGCTGCCAGATGGACAACTGGGTATGATCGAACTCCTCGTAGAACGTCACCGCAGAACCGTACACCTGTAGTCAAAACAGAGTGAAGTTATGGCAATCATACATATGCAGGATTAAATAATGAAATACGCACATGGGGGGGGGGGGGGGCGGACCCCCCAAAAGAAAACAAGGTCAAGGGGGGGGGGGGGGGGTTTGGTTTGTTTTGGAATGTTTTATCAAGCCTAATGGTAAAAACAGTAATTATAAAAACCTCGGCTGTGTAAAAATATTGTCTATGGAATAGAGAAAACTATAAATATTATACCTAAAATGTTACTTCCACAAGTAATACCATGAAGGTTAGAGAACAGGAGAACGATCGCCGTAGAAAATAGTGTCCCAGAAATATGGACACCATAAGTGAGGCGCTGCGATCGCTAAGTTCGGTCAATAAAAGTCTATTTTTCAGATCAGATGCTAAACCACTTGCACATCCACACACAATAAAATATTTCTCCAGTTTTTAATGTTTCTTTTTGTCAAAAATTACAAAATTACGGAGCATTAAAATTTTCTACGAAAAAATGAAAACAAAATTTGTACATTATTCAACTAACTTCACCTACTTGTACTCATAAACAGCTAACTTCGCAGTCATTACTCCGACGTCACGCCGCTATAAATTCTACAATTTTCAAGGACAGGCGGGCTATGCTTTAGTACGTAGTGATCGTTCTCCTGTTCTCTAACCTTCATGAGTAATACAACGTGGTTTTTGACATGATAGAGTAATATATAATATAGTAATATATTATATTATATATAGTGAGAGGTAGTACAGTTGTAGCACGAATGGGTCGGCTCGACCGGTGAGGGACCACGCTCCCACAGAATACCAGTGCAAAGAGCAGCTTAACGCTACTGTGTTTCGTATGGTGAGTGTAGAGAACCGGAGGCCCTCTTTACTGGAAAGGAGGCATTCCATCTTAGTCCTCACGGGTGACAAAGCGTCTGTATTTTGATTCATAATCGAAGATAGATGTAGATGTCTATAGGCCATCTACATATCACTTACCATCAGGCGGACTGTGTGCTCGTTTGTCACCCTTATACTATAAAAAATATATATATTATATCTTAGAAGAGGAAATGCTAAAAAGATTACATGAATGTAATGTAATAGCAGATGGTCATCAGCATCTTTCTGGTAAAAATAAAAACAATAAAAAAAGTTGCCAACCCACCAACTATGGCAAATATCTATCCTACAATTTTCAAGGACTAGAACTAAGGAAGGATATGAGGCTTTCTATGGGACATATGTATCTTTCTATGAGACATATGTATCAGTGGATTTTGATGGGATATAATGAATAAATAAATTAATGAACATGTATCTTTATATATTAGCCGCACGCAAAGTTTGCCGATGACTACGCATCTTGCCTCCGCCGACCGCATCCCGCGCTCGCCTAGTTAGTACCGTTAACAAAGCAGACTTTGCAACGTCTTTGAATTTATTGCTCTCGTTTCGAAATTAATTACTGTTTTCTTGTTAAATTTTTGTTTGTTTTATATTGTGTGTTATGGTAGGTATGTGTATGGTATAGGTATGTGTTATTTTTTTATCAAAATGGGTTACGTGTTATTATTTTAAAGGTTCAAAAAAATTTACGAAAAGGAAACCAAAAAGGTTCGCCTATAATAAATCTTAGTAACAACTGCAACGTTTCACTATTTTAGTAATGTCTTTTTATCAACCGTACTAACAATCGACACGTGACGTCATGACGTCACCGGAAAACTTTCTGCGCGCGGTTAAATAGTTCAAATTACACAACTCATTTTATATAAAGATCAGGTAATTTATTTAATTGATTTTCTAAAGGCTGAGATAAGACTGATCTTTTTTGAACTAGCGGTATTTCAATATGTAAATTAATGATATCCAAGTTCAGTATGATACATACTGGTATTCTTAGATTGAATTTACTATAATATGTATCCGTTTTCCTAAATAAATTACACATTTGTGAGAACTTCTAGTACTAACTACTTTATATAGTGATTTGCATAATTAATAACTGTTATTGAAATAATACTAATTTTTACGGAATTTATCGCGTATATTTAACTTTTTTACCCGACGTTTATATCATTATATCACCGAAGAAATCATTATAATAACTGTTAGTTTTTCAGTTATAAATATTAAATATATATATTATTTTTTATACGTGGTAGAGACATGCTGCAGTTATATTAGTAATATAGTTTCAACTAACTTCATCTACTTGTACTACATAAACAGCTAACTTCGCAGTCACTACTCACCGACGTCAGCGCCGCTATAATAAATTCTACAATTTTCAAGGACAGGCGGGCTATGCTTTAGTACGTAGTGATCTTTCTCCTGTTCTCTAACCTTCACGAGTAATACAACGTGGTTTTTGATATGATAGAGTAATATATTATATATAATATAGTAATATATTATATTATATATAGTGTGAGGTAGTACAGTTGTAGTACGAATGGGTCGGCTCGACCGGGGAGGACCACGCTCTCACAGAATACCAGCTTCAAATAGTAGCTTAATTCTGCTGTTTTTCGTATGGTGAGTGTAGAGAACCGGAGGCCCTCTTTACTGGAAAGGAGGCATTCCATCTTAGTCCTCACGGGTGACAGCGCATCTGCATTTTGATTCGTAATCGAGGACAGATGTAGATGTCTATGGGCCGCAGCAACCACTTACTATCAGGTGGACTGTGTGCTCGTTTGTCAACCTATCCTATAAAAAAAAATTATTTTAGTTAAATTTATATAAAAATAAATATAGTTCATATATGTAGAAACAAATGTATCTAAAGTAGAATAGCATAAAATATGAAAAACCATCGAACCTTATCCGTAGCATCGGCAACGGTAAGCACGAAGGTAGAGAAAACTGGTTTCGGAGCAGCCGCATCATTTGGCCACAGTTCTAGCGTCGCGCCCATCGGCAAGCAGAACAACGGCACCGACGTCGGAAACGCTAGACTCCGCCTATCCACTGTTGGGTACCTAGTGTCAAATGAAAATTCTGTGTTTTTTATGAGACCAACCTTATTTCACTAATAATATCAAAACTGTGATTTTTGCCGGTAGAGAGCTCAAATTCAAATCCCAGGCGCACCATAATTTTTACGTGGTAGAGCCATGCTGCAGTTATATTAGTAGTATAGTTGTAGCACGAATGGGTCGGCTTGACCGGAGGAGGACCACGTTCTCACAGAATACCAGCGTCAAACAGTAGCTTAATGGTGCTGTGTTTCGTATGGTGAGTGTAGAGAACCGGAGACCCTTTTTACTGGAAACAAGGCGTTCCTCCTAAGTCCTCACGGGTGACAACGCATCAGCATTTTGATTCGTAATCGAGGATAGATGTAGATGTCTGTGGGCCACAGCAATCACTTACCTTCAGGTGGACTGTGTGCTCGTTTGTCATCCTAACCGATCGATTTCCTGCATGGCTTACTAGGTCGTCACTATATCTAGTGGGGCTACCCGTAGGCTATCACTCGAAAACTTTTCCTCCCCATCGGTTATCGGCTCTTCGAGCTATATGGCCGGCCCATTGCTACTTCAGGTAATCGTTACTAAACATAAATCCATGCCTACTGTTTTTATAATAGGTACACATTTTTATCGTTGTATTCGTTGCGTTTTCAACAAATACCGTCTCATATGTGGGCCAACATATATTAGTGTTACAATCAGTGAAAGCTAGATCAATTAGCGTTCATTAAAATTGTTATGAAACTGCGAATGAGGTCACTCGTCTATTTTGTGATCAACTTAATTATATATGTCGGTATTTTTTGTTTAGTTGAATGTTTAAAAACGTTTTACATGTCTTAATATTAAAAAAGTAAAGCTACATGTCAACCTGGATGGCAATGTGCCGCAGGCATTTCGCGGACACGCATTTATGCCGGCAGAAATAGATAAAAAGGTTGCAGCACTAATGGGTCGGCATACCATACGAATGGTGATTGTAGGGAATCGGAGACCTTATTTACTGGTTACGAGGCATTCCAGCTAAGTCCTCAGAGGTGACAACGCATCTGCATTTCGATTCTTAATCGAGGATAGATGTAGATGTCTATGGGCCACAGTAACTACTTAACATCAGGTGCTTCCCCTCTGTTGGTTTTTTTGGTGTGAGTTTAGATTTACCACATGTTCTCCTAAAAACATCGCAAAGAAAAAAATTCAGTCATGTGAAGTTCGCCAATACGCATTGAGGTAGCGCGGCTTACATTGCCTTGCCCTAAAATTTTCTAAGAGATGAGAGGAGGCCTGCGCCCAACAGTGGTACGTATATAGGCTGTAACTTTACTTTTTACTATATTATATTTATTAGATAAAATTTACATTTACCTGAAGAGCACTTCAGGCTTATAGGCTATTGATGGCGGACGGTTCATCGACTTCTTATAACAGAGAAAAACATCGCTGCCCATTAGACCTGCAATTAAAAACAACTTTAAAGTTAATTACGTAAAGATAAAGTACAATCCACTCACTAGAATTCAGACGTGGTGCAATTAACACACACAATTCTTTTTCACATACTTAACAGAATAGTTGGTGCAATTCATGAAGTGTATTTGTATAATTTAATAATTTAATAAAATTACTAACGAAATAACAGTCAACCTAATGGTAAGTGACTACCGCATCCCACATACCATTAGGTGAACTGTTAATTCCAGCCCTAGTCGATGCGAAAGTGACCAACACTGTCGCGATTACCGATACGTTTAAGATGGATTGCGGCACAGTCTATAATTATGCTTGTTACCTTATACATCTTCTTGGTGGCAATGTGACGTAAGTGCGGTTCCCACGTACATCCTTGAAACAAAAACTAGTCCTAGGTCCTTGTATTGCAATTATATTTATATAGTTGATCACCGCCGAAGTCAACATTCATGTAAAAATACAGCTGGTGGTTTTCGCATGTGTTGTTTATGTTTCGTACATCGCGCATTCTAGCCTCCTTATAAACATAGCCGGTCTTATAAGAAAACTTGGTTCGTTGATAGCCGCGGGCTTAAGGTATGTTTTAAGAACATTTTAAAAATATTATTTATAGTTTAAACCTGAGACGTATCAATTTTTTGAATAGACTTTGGATGGCAAACGAGCACACACTCCACCTGATGGTAAGTATGGTATGGTAAGTATTTCATAGATCTACCTTCAATCAAGAATCAAAACGCAGATGCGTTTTCACCCCTGAGGACCAACATGAAATGCCTTATTTCCAGTATAAAAGATGTCCGGTCCCCCACATTCTTCATACCAAACACAGCACCTTTAAACTGCTATTTTACGCTGGTATTCTGTCAAATCTTGGTCCTTTCTCGGTCGAGCCGACCAGCAGCGTGGCTCTACCACGTGTAAAATTCCATTCACATTCGCATACCAGCCTACTATAGACGGTTTTATTATAAAACGCGGTTTATTGACAGTCGCGAGCTTAAGCTATTTTAATAAAATTTAAAAAGGTATTTCATAGTTTAAGCCTGATAGTATTATTAAACCACAATTTATAATACATTGTTCACGGCTCACGACTAAACAGGACGTTGACAGTGTTGCGTGTACATAAGCGAGTCTATATGATATGATGTTCTAAAATGGTTAATAATGGCCGTTTTTACTCAGAATTGGTGAGATATTCTAGGTGATTGAAACACAATACATAGTTCGTATACGTCCCCTGCCATGAGCGTCGTTTTTATTTCGATATAATTTCATTCGATGAAGATACAAAAACGTTAATATGCTGATATGCTAAAACGGCACTGATACTGTGTTCTCCACCCTTGCTGAGCGTGACGGTAAGTTGAATACTCTAATAGATGACACAGACGAAAAGTATATACTCGTAAAGCCTTTGGTCCTTCGCCATCCATCCCAGACCGAGACCATCGAGTACCATCGGTCTGAGAGTGAGAGACTAGAGATTGGGTAACACTACATATTTATGCACTATAAGCCTGTCCTGCACAGATGGGTTAGTCTCCGTTGGGACTAACCGCCTTTAATCTCAAACTGGACGACATTAATATTATTACTATTATTACAACAATATATCCGATTACATAATATGTACAAAACCACTATAAATGGTGTAGTGATAATGACATCGCCGGAAGTGATTAAGCAACAATTTAGCAAGGAATAAAATAAGCTTATAATTATTATGATAGTACGCACGGATCTAACGACACACGTTTACACGTACAAACACGCGCCTAAATTTTTACTTTAAATGATTCACGTGTCACTTTAAAAACTTTAATTATCTCCATTAATTAACCATTTCTGCCTCCATACCTAACATACTTACCACATACTTTATAACAAATGAAATAAATTTTGAAGAAATCTGGTGAAAAGTTCTGAATAAAAAAAAAATAAACAATTATTATTTCTTGAAAACATCTTTATAATCAGAAAGTTTTGGTTCATTTCCATTTTTTTATTTCAGACAGGCTTCAGACGGTCATAAAGGAACCACCATACATACACTCCGATGCCCCGAGGGCAATATGATAAAATAGAGGATAGAGGATAGCCAATTGAATACTAATTTACATAATATGGATTGTTTTTCGGTGTGTTAAACTCTAGATAACACAAATAAGTAAAAAAAACATGTGTGTTCACATGCGACGCGCGCGTGTGTGTGTGTGTGTGTGTGTTGTGTGTGTTTTTTTTTTTGTGTGTGACTTTATGCGTGAGTGCGTGCGTGCGTGCGTGCGTGCGTGCGTGTGTAGAGTAGGATAATTATAGTGTATGTAATGCTGTATTCTATCTCATTCAATCGCAAGCTTAATCTTATAAATGTTTATGTTTTTCTCTTTTTAGTGACGCTTTTTCGTCTCATCGAGTTTCAAATCACAACGATTCTTAAGAAGTCTATCTGAAAATGAAAACAACATCATATTGTTTACACTTAAACTTATGTTATCTTGTTATCACTTTAATACTATATGCTTTATCTTATTTCCTTCCTACGAGTCAGTAGTATGATGGATTGCCTCGCTGTCGTCTTCAAATATGACAACGCATTTGAAGTTGTCCAATGTCCATGAATTGCAGTGACCACACACCATTATGTGGACTGTAAGATCGTTTTTTTTAATAATATAATTTTTTTAAAAATTTTATAAAAATAAAAATATTTGTACAACCAACTTCAATGTAACTAAAATGAGAACATCATCAACCAAATCGTATTCGAAGTCAATTAAATACGCGTTGTGAACGATAACTGAAAAGCTACTGATCAGATCTTGTTTAAACCACACGAGAAGCACCAGCATTCAGATATAAAAAATCATTAAAATCGGTTCATCAAGAGAAGTTATAAGGTAACACACATTTAAAAAAAACATACAGTCGAATTGAATACCTCCTCCTTTTGGAAGTTGGTAAAATTAAGGACATATAAGGATATAATTAACCGTGTAGTGGCGGTGTAAGAATATGCACTAACTCATATCGCCTTGTGGATGTCATAAAAGGCGACAGAGGGATGCTCAAACAGGAGATAGGCAACATTGTTTTCCTGATAAGAACTAAAAAAATAATAAAAAACTGCAATTGGCAATCAGCCTGCCAACCGTGGCAACTATACCGAATTCCACTTTATTGGGCAATGTATAGGAGAACGCCTATGTTCAACAGTACACTTTTATAGGAAGTAATGGATAGAATTGATCCAAGAAAGCTACAACTATACTAATAATATAACTGCAGCTATATTAGTAGTATAGTTGTAGCACGAATGGGTCGGCTCGACCGGGGAAGGACCACGCTCTCACAGAATTCCAGCGTAAAATAGTAGTTTAACGTTGCTGTTTCCTACGGTGAATGTAGAGAACCGGAGGCCCTTTTTACTGGAAACGAAGCATTCCATCTCAGTCGACAGGACTGACAACGCCGATACTATATTTTTTATAGTATCGGAGTGACAAACCCGCACACAGTCCGCCTGATGGTAAGTGGATACTGTGGTCCATAGATGTCTATTACTACTACACATTTATCTTCAATTAAGAATCAAAATGCGGATGCGTTGTCACTCCTGAGGACTAAGTTGGAATGCCTCATTTCTAGTAAAACGGATCTCCGGTTCTCTACACTCACCATACGAAACACAGCAGCATTAAACTGCCATTTCACGATGGTATTCTGTGAGAGCGCGGTCCTACCCCGGTCGAGCCGACCCATTCGTGCCGCAACCACAATTTTAGCTGCAGCATGGCTCTACCACGTAAAGTCTGCATTTTGATTCGTAATCGACGAAAGATGTAGATATCTATGGGCCACAGGAACCACTTATCAGATGGACTGAGTGCTCGTTTGTCTCCCTATCTTATAAAAAATACAATAAAAGAAAACACAGTCAAATATTTCTTCTTTTTTTGAAGTTAAGTAACCAAAAAGTACAAACCTTTGTTCAAGTTCTTGTTGATCATACAGAAGGCGTGTGGAGGCATCTCGCCTCGACTGGCGACGACGACGCACACGTCGACGACAACCAGCGCGTTGCACGGCGCCGACGGATGCGCGCGTCGGTACGTGATGAAAGTCTTTGCTGTCGAGTTGTTGACGTTAGCCAGCCGACCACCCACCGACACCAGCACCATTTCCGCGTCAGCCATGAGTCGCTCCTTGCCATCGTACATCACGCCTGCGTGTTTAAAAATATTGTACAATATCTAAAACAATGTAATGAATCAATGGGCAAGCTTAGACAAACAAATAAAGAAAGACGGAGCGCTGGTAACGATGGAACCAAGCCAAAAGCACTCATGCACACATATACAGTAGGGCCTCGGTAATCCGGACTCTTGTTGTCTCTGCTTGTTCGGTGATCGCTGTAATCCGGCCGGGCAATGGGCTTCCGGGGAGGCGGGCGGGTGCAGGTGCGGCTGCCATGAGTCAATCAGTTTTCTTCTTCTGATTATCACGCGTCGTCAGTCTTTTGCTTATCGCCTTTTGTGTAGTACGTACAGTGTCAATTTATCGCGTTCAATTCGCTAACATCATGGCGCCGCCACGTAAACATTCAACATTAACAATACTGCGTCGCTTCGCTGCCCCCCCTTTTTATTTTTTTTTTTTTTTGTTTTTTTTTTTTTTTTAAATTGTTTTTATTTCCCAACACTTTTTGATCTTACCGCTTTTTTTTCACGTACGTTTTTCTGCCGCACAATAAAAGACAAATCGCTGATAGAAATGTTAGGTAAAGGTGACAGCTACTCTGTCATTGCTCGGAAATTTGGTATAGGCAGGTCAACTGTAGGCGATATAAAGAAAAACAAAGACAAAATGTTGAAGTTTGGTAGCTTAACAGAACGTGGTCCCGGTGAATTCAAGAAGAATTAACGTTTTATTTTAACTTACTGTTTTCTTACACGGTTGTAATTTTGAACATGTATATTTTTGACTTTATGCTTTAATTTGAAAATTGAATAAAGAAACTAAGGTTAGGTGTTTTATTACCACTAAACATGGCATGCATAATCCGGATGCTTCGATAATCCGGAAAGGGCCTTGTTTTTGGCTCTTTTTTTGGTACTTCAAAATCTGACACTACACTGACATCTACATATTAATTTTACACTTAGTTCTAAACTTATATTGGTTATGATCAACAAATCTCCAATATTAAAAGAAAATTTTGCATATTATATTTTATTGTTTTTAGAAAATGTAATATTAACTCAGTCACTACTCACTACGTTCCAATTATTTTTATGTGGAATATAGAATAAGTTCTTGTAAATGTTTACTATAACATTTGAATATTAATATAAGTGTGTGACACATTTATAGATATTTAGAGAATATCTCTCCTGCCTTACTCTTGTACCATACAACTAAACATTAGCTATAATAGTATTGAGTCATTTGTCGGATTAGAACATAGCACACATAGCTAATTATTTTACTTCTTCCCACTTTAACTCATTTCTTGATTGCAGTAAAATTGTTTTTATGTTTTTGTTTTTCTATTTGGTATGTATTTAATGGGGAGGGCTTAGCAGCTGTAACACAGGTCTGTGACCTAGCACGGTAGCTAAAGATACCTTAATATAGTATTGAGTTAGATTACGTCTTGCCAATGTAATTTTATAAGTTTTTGTTGTGTGTGTGTGTGTGTGATGTGTGCGCAAATGTGTACCGAGAAGTTGAGTATGAACTAACAGACGACGGGTGTCTGCCGATCGAACGAAGGTGATACCATCCAAAGACCAGTGATGAGGTGCGAGGGTATTAACTTTGCCCTCGCCAACCCGCTCTCTAAAGTAATCTGGCACATCCCCGGTGAAGCATTTGTCCAGCAGTAAACTTAAAAAGACGACGATGATGATGATGATGGTGATGATGATGCTGGGCTTCTAATTATCAAACATCTACTTTATTTTTTCTACTGTTAAAGCAGGCTAATAAAATTGTATATCATAGGGATTTAGATTAACAGTTATATTAGTCCTGAACACCCGTTACCTAACGATTTGGTAAATTAAATAACTTACAAACTCAAAATGTTATAATACTCGACAACCGTCTTCAACATACATGTTTGTAGAAAGGCAAACAGATATTGTTAAACATAAGAAGAAATGGAAGCCCCAAGCGCATTTTTCTTTAGAAAGTTTGTTATCTTCTCCTCTAACGGTAAGCTGTTAGTATCACTAATCACACTTTTACTAGTGATCAGCTCGCAAAAACTGTTATCCTTTAAAGTTGTTACATATTATAATCAAGTGGTAAAAAGCTTACCCGCTCAACAATTTACTATTTTATAAGATAAGGAGGTACAGTCACACAAATATGTGTTCCCATTTTTATTAAACCTATTACGTTATTATTAGACGTCGATTAACGTTTACGTAACAAGATATCAAAAAAGTTATACGGAGCTTTGCCTCTATAAGATAAAAACAAAATACTGCTTAAATTAATAAATATGAATTATTACTAATAACTATTTAGAACTCTTAAATAAAAATGTAAATTACATTAAAGGTGTATTTTAGTTGAGGTGATACCTCGAAAATTTTGTGGTATTTCTATTTAACATATTTTTTTAAGTTTTATAGATTACAAACCAAAATTTTGGTACCTATATGATTCTTGACTGTATGATCTTGGATTGCATAAAAGGAAAATACTATATCATGTAATTTTCTCGATAGAAAAAAATTTCAAAGTGGGCTCTAATTATTTACATTTCTCGATGACACCACAATATTATTACGAATAATTTCATGGAATTATTTTTAAGGCATAGTAAATAATCATATTTAAGTTCTCATAAACCAGTTTTAAAAATGTGTTTAAAAGTAAAAATGTTGTTTGGCGCTTATTTAGTTTTTTTCCGAGCGTTTCCTCGGTATGGCTATCTCATAATTTGCGTACTATGAAGTCATTGCATCACTTTCATTTTGACACTCCCGCAGTCGTCCGTTAGCTTCTCCGACAAAGGAATAAGCCACGCCCCCTAAACTTCGATTCATTTTCAAGGTATCATCTTCAGAAGCTACAGCATATAAACACATCAACAGAATCTAGGGATATTTTATATTTCATCAAATATCTAAGAATCTATTAAGAATTTTCTGGTATAGTAACCGGAAGATGATCGGTTATTTTAAGGTCTTTAATAAAAAAAATGTATTTTTTGTTTTAAATAAATATGTAAATTTTTTTTAACCGCCGTGGAAAATGAGTATGATAAAAAAACTTTACTTTTTCTTATAAAACCAATAATTTTAATAAAAATTTAAAAAATCATAAAATTTAATTATTAATAATCAGAGTTGCCACCTCTTACATTAATGACGGCCAACACCAGCCGCCATGTATGGGAAGGAGCATTATCGTGCATGAGTGGAAATTCCTGGTCCATTTGGATTCTGTATTGGAAAATAACAGGCTTTACTACCTCCTCGTGGTATTTTTCTGCAGTCATGCTGCATTGTATCCAAACGTCCGCCAAGACAAATTCCTGCCCACACCATAATTGTTCGTCTTGGTATGAGTGGACCTCTAGAGGGCGCCGTATACGGCTAACTCTCCTGGAGTTCTCCAAACGCGTGTTCTTAGTGAATCCGGATGAAACCCAAACCGGAACTTATCGGTGAACAGCACCAAAGACATTGTTCGTCACTCCACGGTAAATGTTCACGAGTCTACGAAAGCCACCGACCGCGATTGCCGCACCGCAAAGCTGGAACACGTAGCGGGCTTCGATCAAGAAGACCAATTACATACAACTTCCTTTGCATGGTTTGGTCGCTTACCAGCAGCTTGTGGTCCTCCTGGAGCCTTTGTAGTAGTTGCATCGGAAAAATCGATCTTCTCTCTGCGTAGTAACACGATATCTACCCGTGTGCCTATCAGCCACATCCCCATTCCCCAGTACTGCGATATCGTGACCACAACCTTGATATCACGTTTTGGCTGGAGTGTAGGGACTCAGTAACGACCAATGATTTCAAAAGGAAGGATATGCTCATCTAAATATTTTACTCATAACTTTTCATACAAGAAAAAGTAGCGCATCTGTCATAATAAAAACGTCATATCAAAACACCACGTAAACAGGGTCGAATTTCGTAGTATAATTATCCTAATTGTACCATTATTTAATAGTTTTTCGTACATAGTATCGTAATACATAATACTAAGCGAAAATGCCATAATTTGACCTAAAGGTCGACTTGTATTATTATTGGTTCCTTTTACATTTTAATATTAACCCTAGCCTACGATATCAAGAATTCTTTATTGTACACGTGAGTACCGCGTTTTTTTTTTTAATAAAATTAGAATTAGCCCCCTTTCTGTTCCATCGATGAAAAAAGAAACATGAAACGTCAAACGTGATATAATTTTTTTAAATAGTATAATTTTATTTTCCATCTACAATATTTTGAGGGTCTGAATCCAACCCTTGCCTAATCTTGATAATGTAACTAAACTAACTGTAAAATAAAACTTTAAAAATGCGTTTTTATAATAATTTAATTGTAACAAAATTTACCGATGATACGATATCCCATGTTTCTTTTAAATCTTTGTATCGTAATTTTGCATTCTTTTACCACGCAACAAGACATATTTGTGACGGGAAATATGTCAAAAAATCAAATCTATCCTGGGCGCGCACCACTGTCGACTGATTCGATAAAATTACAGTTTAGGGCCAACGCACTGGTCCGTTTTAGTAGTTCGGTCGGCCCGGTCCTTACGCTAGTAATATATAAGTCAATGGTAACGACGCGTTGAATAGCACCATTTTCTAACATACCCACGGCTCGTAATATTTCATCTAGACTCAAACGACGATGTGACATGACGTGACTCTTAAAGCTAAGACGGCACGTTAAATTAAAAAAAAATCTAATACCCTTTTTATTAATTAATATCAGTAGAACAATTTTAATTATCCTTGACGTAACGAATTACTAACCGTCGTATTTTGTTTTTTATTTTATTTTCTTTTAATTTACTTTTTTAAATTTTGAAAAATAGAATAAAAGAGGTTTCAAACTGTATATAAACTTTTTATGGAAGCTAAAAAGATTTTAAACTATAAAGTCGTAAATAATTTAGGATTAAGGTATCCTTTAGATTCTGTTGACGTGTTTATGTCCTACGGGTCCCTTGCGTGCACTA